AGGATTTCAGACTGAGGTAGCCGAACAACTGGTTCCAGTACGTTTGACCATATTTGGACTGCTGACCACTATTATCGTTCTCAGAATGTCACTGATGATCTTGGTGGCGCAGTTCCTCCTTGTTAAAGTGGCAAGGGCGGGCACCAGCACCTGGGTACTGACTACTGATGAGCCTCTTTTCGCAGTCCTGAAGAGACCTGCAGCCAAGTGCAGTCATCATCAAAGGTAAATACCGATCCAATACATCCTTATCCCACCAACAATTTACACACCTATGACTCAAGTTGTGCTTGGTGACGGGTCACCAATTGGCAACAACGAGGAAGCACGTATAAAAACTGCCACCTTTGTTACTGTACTTTTCCGCCGTCCATCGTCTTTTTACATTGACCGTTCTCATAGATGAACCGGGCTTGCAACTTAATGTGCCAGCGTGGTCTCTGGTAGTTCACGAATCAACGACGGTGGTGTCAATAATGCTGAGAGTTGGAAAGCTGACTATTCCGGTGTTTAAAACTCGTAATTCATGGAAGTATGCACTCTTGTCCAAAAAATTGATCCCGCTTGAGGGAAGGTTAGCATAGATAGGTGCTGGCATTCCGAGTTACGTAGTAGTTAATATACTGACTAGACAACAGCAGGATCCCAGCTATACTTCATCGCCAAATGAAACGAAGACGTGAAGCAGGTTAATTACAACGATCCACAAATCCCCGAAAAGCTTTTATGTGATCAAGTTCGAATCCGTTCCGTCCCATATCAGTTAAGACAGGCTTCCTTGAGCACCTATGTAGATGGCCAACAAGTCATAATAGCAAGCCGTAAACACTAGGCAACTTATAGATGGACGTCTCATATTCTATCAGATGATTTAGGCACTGAAATCCCTGTTTTAACGCCATGAAAGCAACTTTAAACAAGTTAAGCACAATCGGTATGAATATTGACGTTAAAGGTAGTAATGGTGGAGTAATAAGCTGATGTATGTGAACATGTGGTGTTGCTGATTGCTACGTGGAATCTCAGCTTATCGACAGACATTTAAGAGAATTTATTGAGGTTTATTGTACTTTCGGCAGATTACTGCAACTTGAGCTGATTGTGTGTGGAAAAGGACGTCATATAGGTGACATAATAGATTCTGAAGCATGAACAATTTTTTTGGATAAAGAGTGCATGCTTTCATGAAGTTTGAGTCTCAAACACCGGAACAGTCAGTCGTGAACTGCTAAAAGTCGTCGAAAATTAGGCTACGCGAAATCAAGAACGAGATGTCACTATCACTGAATGTTCGTTTGTTCGTCTCTCTCCTTTGTTTTACGCTTCTTCTGTCTTTGGCTATCCCCTAAATCCTCCGTCATTTTGTTACCATTCCAAAAATCTCTCTTACGACACTACACAGAAAGACCCCACCTGTCTCAGAGATCCCGTGTGTCGTAAATCTCCACACAAATTAGACGATATTCAACCACCCGGAAGATATACCATGACCAGAGCAGGCAAGTCGTTGGATGCAGATTCGGGTGATGGGTTGGGATTGGAAGCCCTCTCTTATCTACCATCCGCTTTTTTAACAGTAGACAACAAGTCTCCAGATCAGTAAGCAGTGCACAGATGAACAAAAAGGAGAACATGAGATCCAAATACGGAATTGTGAGTAAACTCAACGGCACACTCGCTTACTACTGAGTAGGTGGTCGATGATGAAAGAGTGTGAACACTGGTCGACTAGGAGTTCCGCCGCTCTAGTTTTGCTGATGGTCAGTCCAGTGGGCACAGCCAGTTGGTATAGTCCCACTCGGCCTGTCGGGACGAGGTAGGCTAGCAGAATAGACTTTCCGGGGTGGAAAGAAGTGTGTTTGTGGGCCCAACTTGGTACCAGTTTCTGTCGGTTCTCAGCGTCCACGTGCCTGCGTGTGTATTCGTAACCGTTCACTTTGTGTTTTGCTCGGTGGTGTTCCTTCAATGTAAACAGTTCACAAATAGGGTTACATGTTACCTGAGGCAAACTGAAGCACTTTGGAGTTGAGAGTGGAAGACAATGACTGGAAAATGGATTAAGTTGACCAGTGTGCATCTGAGAAATGAAATGCCTCTAATTACAGCTCTAGAACATGCATCCTGTCTCCTAGGTGAACACAAGATCACCAGCTGTACTGGACCCAATATTTTTCCACAGTATATTTCCTCCTTTGGGAAATCTAGGCTTTGAGTTAGCAGTAAGCGACCACAACACCTCAATGTGTGCGCTGCTACTTCAACTAGTACCTCAGTTAATACTTCTTCACCACAACAAATAGTTGATAGAGACTATAGTAGGGCTGGTTGGAAGCCGATGTGCCCACTGATTAGATGCGTTGACCGAAAATCACACCTCACCACTGCAGACCTTGGATAACTCGTTGACATATCTTTCTACAGCTTCCAAATCTGCCTCGATACCTGAGTTCCGTTGGAAGGTCCGAAAAATGTGCATCCGAAAAACAAGTCATACATGCCTCCCGGTGCTTGTAGAATGTTACGCAAACTCTCGGTGAGATACCTCCTACACCATGATTTAAATGCACCTCTGGTGGTTCTCAGTGTTCTCGGTTTTTTCTCGCTTGACCATGATGTGAGTATGAAGAATGATGAGAGTAGTGGGTTAGCCAGCTTATCGTCCGTACTTCTCAAGAAGCTATCAACCCGCATCTGTGAGAGCTCCAGCTGATATTGCGAGTGTTCTCGCAACCCAATGTGGTACTAAAGTCATAGCACGGTTTAGATTTGGACGCAATCCTTCGAAAGGTGATCCCGTTCCCAAGGATTTATCCTGTACGGGGGGAGAAAACGAAAGACAAAACCATATCCATCCTCACCACAACGCCTTATTCAAAATTAAGGCTTCACGTAAGCGATTCAACTCTCTACAAGTAATCCACAACTTAATATTCGTCGCGTTCCACCAAACACTTGTGGGGTGTCAGCAAAATTGTAGACGGACGTACTGAATGACTTTCGCCTCAGCACCCCCAACCCTATTGGTCATCCTCAAAGTTACTCGTAAATAAAGTTTACTTGAGCCATAAAAGTAAGCTCAGTGGCATCACTTTAAAGTTTTTTGTTGTCAGACGGGGCCTCAAAGTTTATTTACCCCCCTTTGGGGCCGCTACAAATTTCAGGGATTCATGGGGCTACCAACGTTACCGTACCCTCAAAATTATTTGCTTCCTATGGGCATTTCGACTGACGACAACCACATTGCATGTCCTTATTGCATCACCTTTTAATCATCCATTCCACCAACGAATTCTTGTCTCTGTAGTTGGAGTAACAGCACCACCTGAAAGCTTCTTCTTGTCATTCTACTGGAGCGTAGGATGTCTGGCGGTATTCATAAATCCCCTGCAGTCTTAGCAGCTAGGAGGCCATCATCATTTGGGCTGGAGGCGTGCTACCTTAAAACTCGGCAATTTCCATCACCTGCCGGATCAGGATCATGTGATAGCTAAGTTGCCACCTTGGGCCGAATGGAATCGAGCTTCATGATGCTGTATTTACTTCCCGAAATAAGCCTGTCGTTCTCATACAGTGGGTATTATGAGAGATGGGGATCGATCGTCAGGTTCACGACGATCATGGACTAATTTAGTGCCCTGACGTATTTTTCTACTTCCGTGTGATGTTCAGGAGTGCACTGATTAGCCTGTAATTCCTCGCCGATTTCATCCTCAGATGTAATCAACTTATTTACCCATATGTTTGTGTCGTCTGCGGTCAATGTGTCTTCACTGTATCCATAGCCCCGACTGGACTGATTTCCATTTCATAACGTTTTTGAGTTTTCACTGGGGTCCTCGCCTTCCGAGACCAAGTATCTGTAAATGAATTCCAAGACCTACTGTTTATATACTTCATGATAAATGTGCATATTCTGTCTTTAGCGTAGCTGTTGGGCAAAACTGTTGCATTCCCTGCCTCATATGTTAATAATAAGATCTTAGTACAGGATTGTAGGACTTTGGGCGTAAGTGAACTGCTGAGATGCTCCATGTCGTCAGTCAGACTAACTTCTTACTATTACCCGTTGACTTGGGTACCCATCCGTCAATGGATTTTCGAACTCCGGATATCTAGGAGACAGGCACTGTTCTCGAAATTCCCGCTTTACCATCGACTTTATTGCCTCCCGTTGTCAGCTTCCTTCCGATTTCCGTTGCCATGTTAGAGATATCCCAAATGAGATCTTCCAATTCGGACCAACAAACATGGTAGCGCTATTTGTGATTGGACTTATGGCGCTTAGTATTCTCACCTTTCGTTAAATCCGTGCAACTTTACGAAAACGGCTGCCGCAGCAGTATACCAATCTCAACTGCTTCGTGACCGTATCGTACACGAACGCTGTTTGGCGACTAATTTTGTGAACACATGTTTGACATGCTAGGAAGCACTTACGAAAATTGGAAAAGGGGTAAAACCTTGGAGTTAGAAAATTGCAGTGGACTTGGACACGGCATCCTGCAAAAATGAGGGCCAACAAAAAACAGGGTTGGCATCTGCGACTTGGACCGCATTTTGGCTTCCTCCTAAGTAAAAAGAACACTACAGTTTTCAGAAGAACAGTCCCTCTGGACTCCTTAAAAGTTGCCTTGAAACTTTATTAAGATGTGAGTGACATCGGCTCAAAATCAACCGAATGTTCATATTTCACCCGACAATGTCATTCTCTTTACGTCTACACAGGTTAACAGCCACAGTAACTAATGACCCACGGGTTCTTGAAATGAAGCTCGTTTAGGCGAAGGTTTCTTCTGTTTGGTTAACGACTATTTGAAACTATTGCGGGCACTGGATATTAAGAGTTTTCGGTTTTTCTGTATAGGTCGTGCGTTGTTCATATCCATTCTGGAGGCAATACAGACATAAAACTAATTTAGGCAAAAGCTTTCCTTACGCGTTTAGTATTGCCTTGTATTTTGTGAATAATCTTTCGTGATAGCTGTTGGACGTGAAGAATTGAAGCCTGGTGGTTTGAAGCAGGCGTTACTGTTATCGTTGGTACGTACTCTTACTTCGAATGGCAATTTCAGTAAAATGTGTGTCTGAGGACTTAATTTGCAGCATGTGCGTAAATTTTGCACCAGTCTATGAAGTATTGGACTTGGTCTGATTCTTTTAGGTGGGTGTAGGCTACCTGGCCAAGGTTGTCGAAATGTTAAGAATCAGTGGTTAGAAACTGTTGGTGGTATAACTCCAAACTGCCAAAAGTAACGATCTATACATCCTTTGTCATTCTTGGGGTCTTGAATATGTTCACTAACCTTCATCTCTTGATACTCTGTCACCTCATACACTTTTGTCGACTTTTCATGTCACTCATTTCCTGTTCATCTTGTTTTGCAAAGTGCTGGGAATCGTAGAAACCTAAATTGGTGTAGCTTTTGCCAGTTTCTACGTTGTTTTATGTCTTAATTTCACAGATTATTAATTGTTCAAATATTTGAACATCTAATTCCCATGTGGTATTAACTCATCCCTTCCTCCCTACTAATGAATAATCCCATAAAAATACACAGTGACTGACGAACTAGATTAATTCAACTATAGCATGGTCTTGCCATTGTTTTCACCATCTCTGTTGTTACCTAATTCCTATGCTTGTAATAGAATTTCATTTTATCGCAATGATAACGAATACTTGCGTTGAACAATTTACATATGTGATCGTGTAGTCCAATGAGAAACTATCTGAAATACGTATTTGCTTAGACTGCATTCCAGTTATCATAATGGATATTTTTTTTAGTATTCTTTTTCTTCACTGAGATATCCATTTCTGTTCGCTTCTTCTCCGCGCTGGTGTGAAGTGCTACAACTTGAACTGCTGTATTGTTGTGCAAGAACTAACGTTTGTCTGCCTGTCTACACTTTCCAGACTCCTGCTATGTTGACTCAAACCTACATTTAACAATTATGTGAATAGCTGCCACACATTGGTTTGATCAATTGCATATTCCAACCCTGGCGTAATTAGTGACAGTATAGTATAGGAAATATCTCAACCACCAGTGGATTTAGACTCACAACCTCACTTTTCCATCAAGAGCCTTAGGCTTCAAAACTGCATACTATGGACTACAGACATTCTTTTGAAGTTAGCAAAGAGGATTGATCACTGAGAACTGTACACGTTGATTAAGATGCTAATTTTCACCTGATTGGGAGACAAAAAGCAACGAAAGATCGATTTGTTGGAATTGATATGTTCTTCCCACTTAGAATTTTTATGACGTGTGAAGGAAAAATTACCAACTAACCAACCTTTTTTTTACTAAGAAATGCACAGTAAAGCAGCTCACTGCTTTGGTTCAAGTCACGGTCTGCTAGTCTGATTGATTTGGCTTTGCTATGCTCTCGGATTTTCGCATACTTCTGCATCCATTGCTGAAGGATGGAAGTATGAAGTAATCATAGAATTCGATCATCCTAGCATACAAATAATCAAACGTGTAATGCATATTGTTAGTATAATTTTTTGTATTCCTTTTTATCCTAATCGTTAGTTGTATTTGCTATTTGATCTTGTAAAATATATAATTTAGGATGTTTTTATCATGCGATTACCCGGGTCACTCATTTTACTGATAGGATTTAAGCTACTAGTATCAAATGTCAATCCAAGCTCTAGTAACTAAGAAGCGTAAAGAGTTCATCGGACTCCCTGCTCCTCTGGGATATGCTGCTGGCATAGGACGTGGCGCGGTTGCATTCACTACGAGATCTGATATTGGTCCTGCTCGTGAAGCTAATGATGTTTCAGATGAACGACATGTTGCTCCATCTAAACGTAGAAAGGAGCAGGAAGAAGAAGAGGAGGACCTGAATGATTCAAATTATGATGAAGTAAATATTTATTGTTTATGCTCTTAAACTTTCGAAGCAGTTTCTTGCTTTTATTGCGACAGATTGTATTATTTTGACAGTGAAATCATGTTTTACATTTAGAATTCTGCGGAAAGCTCGGACTATAATGTTGATTATGATGTTTCTCAGCAAGGGGGAGAAGTCATCGTCTGTTATCTCCTGACTAGATGGCAGCTAAATGCTTTTAAGCAGTTCTTAAGTGAAAATTATAATACCTAAACTAACCTCTGTCGAAACTTTAAAGTGTATAAATCGCAAGTATTCAACAAAGTACTCAGCGCTTGGACTTTCCTTTGAAAATAAACGGAGAAGCTGCAGCAAGATTGCTGCTGGTTCCGGTTCTGAACCATTTCTGATATCATTTGAGGTCACTGAGTTATATGGTCTCTTGAAAGCAATACAGACAGTTTTAAGACATCCACAGATGCTAACCCAAGAGAAGTATCTTTCATTTCATGTTGCAACATCAGACACTAATCACATCTCTATTTCCTCCATTCAGACCAAGGGCTAGTTAACAGTGAACAGCATAGGTACCAATATAATAATGACACTCATTTCCCAGCCATCGAAGCTAGTGTTTTATAATGACTTCGCTCAATGAATGACGGTCTTCACGCCTAAACACATGCCATCTCGCCACAGAATAATCCACGTGGTGTATCAATCAGATGATGGCAGCGGTAATTAAGAACGCTAAGTCGTCGAACACTTAAGGCTGGGAAGACCAGTGTATGGTAGAACTACATGCTTCAGTGTCTTACATACCCGACCTTCTACTGCAATGTTAACGTCATGATGATACCGAATGCAGCCCAGATTGATGTGTGTTCCGGTTTTCGAATTACCATTGGAAATCTCACTGGTTACACCTTCACCGGCACTTACACAACTACTCGACTACACAAACTTTTCGATGGCCTTTAATAATTCACCGCTAAGGTTATGTGCCAAGTAAGAACTTCTGCCAATCTTTCAGAAGCGATTTAAATTTTGACGATATGAAGTACATACCACACTTAAGGACGCTGATTGGTAACTGATTGTGTGGCCTGTATGCAGTCGTACATTAAAGCAATATCGTCTGCATATTTAAGACCGAAAAGTTTTTCACAGATCTACACCACCATCATGCACCTCTTTCGGAGCTGTTTCCAGAATGTTACAGGCGGCGTAGTTGAAGAGAAATACTAAATCATGCATTACTGTCTAATTCAGCTTATAGTTTGGAACAATGGAGAGAGGTAGCTGTATAGGTCCACTCTTCCTGATGCTTTCTATAAGACTTTCAAGATGCTGACAGACTCCTCAGAGATACACCTCCCTCACAGAATTCTAGAGTATAGCTCTGTCCGGTGAATAGAAAACAAGCCTAACATCAGGAACGCGATTGTTGGCTTACAACATATCTGATGGATTGGCGATCGATTCATCCCACGACCTGAACGAAACCTGACATGGTCATCGCGGGTTAGTTTTTCTCGCGTCTTATATGACCTGCGAATTGTGATACCAACCATTACTTTAGACACTACTGATAGTGGACCTATACCCTGATGATTACTATACACATAACGTTCCATTTTAAAGACAGGTACAACGCTGGCTTCATTACAGTGTGTTAAAAAAACTCAGTTTATCATACCCCCCCTCAGTTCCCTGACTATGGTGTCACCTCCATCCTTAGAAAAAGCAAGGGGTGAATTGTTTTGTCTGCCTGCTTTATTGAGCTCGTGGAATTCCTCCCAAACCTCCACTTAGGCCAGTCGGTGTTAATTTGTCATGGAGCACAGGTCTTCAGGTCTTCATTATTTGAGCAGTAGATGAGCTGAACTACATTTCAAAGTGCACCACCCAGCGTTCCAGGCGTCTCGAGAGGTTATTCAGCTTACTATCTCTTCAGGACATCTCACTGACGTCAAACTTACTGACTGTGACTCGGATGAGCTGAAGCAACTTCGGACTGTTACTTCATGCGGCTTCTGCTTCTATCTCACAACGGCCACCACGTAGTGCCGTGTTATCTTCCGCGCAAGATTTGCTCATACCATTGTACTCATCCATCAAAATAGACTGACAAACATCAAGAAGTTCAAAGGAGTTCGTGGAGGCCCGGTATTCGCTTGTGGGTTGTTCTAATGACTCACTATTTGCATTTCAGTTATCTAGATTTATGTACCCAATTCATTCACATCTGTCCATTCGTAATATGCGTTTACTTATGTCAGATATTTATGTGATCAGTAGTCATTTAAACTATGGAAATTCACTTTATTGTAAACCTACAACCTAATATTTTATAAAGAATGTATATTTGTGAAGTTCCAAAGAGGCGGAAAAACAAAATTTATGACTTTTCGCGACCTCGTTTTAGTCGCTTCTGCAGAGAATGGTTTGGGTACCTATTAATCACTGAGTTCGTGGCTTAGATGTACTTCGTCGACTGCAACAGGATATCATTGTTTATCTATCACATTCTAGTGTATACGAATTTATATCACCATTAAACTGAGCGTAATGCACCTTAATGCAGGTTTATTTGGTATTTGTTTTTCTGAAAACCTTATAAGTTAGCTACTAATGGATATGACTTATTATTATGGGCTATGTGTAAGCTCAAACTACTGGCGTACGTTAAATATTGATGTGGCTCATCAACTTAGATACTCGACTTCCCAGCAATAGTTTTTGGGTCCAAACCCTTCTTCATCTACTTTGTTCTATGGCGCGCGTTACAACCGCAAACCCTCTCGTTCAGTGTGATTTTTGGCGTAATACATAAATTGAAACCAAATTTATGAGTCGCGCCAAGTTATTTCACTGGAAATCTCATAAATATGGTACATTTCGAGAAAATGAATGATGTTTTTTACACCAATCTTCCTCCTATCTTTCTATCCAGTTCACGGGTTATGGTGGCAGTTTATGTACGAAAGATCCCTATGAGAAGGATGATCAAGAAGCAGATGCCATTTATGCATCCATTGACGACAGAATGGATGAAAGGCGACGTGAATACAGAGAAAAACGTTTCCGTGAAGAGATTGAAAAATATCGACGAGAAAGACCGAAAATCCAGCAACAGTTTATGGATTTAAAACGTGATTTGGCAAGCGTTTCTGAGAGTGAATGGAATGCCTTACCAGAAGTTGGAGATTCACGAAATAGGAGACAAAGAAATCCTAGATACGAACGTTTCACACCAATCCCAGACAGTATTATTTCAAAAGGTTTATCCGATGGTCAAGTAAATCAAATCATCTTAATCATATCCTTACTATCCTTCTCCCTCCATAGACAAATATTTCCGTGGATGTAGTCGAACAAAGTTTAGGTGGTATAACTACACCGTTTACTTCGCAGGCTGCTCAAATGGATATTGACATGAAAAAAATTGGTGAAGCACGTACATCTCTAATGGATATCAAGTTGACACAGGTATGTTAACTTTCTATCAAATAAGTTTTGGTCAATTTCACTCGCCACCACAACCTATTTCACTAAGGATTGCTAATTAATGTGGTTTTTTTCCAACTACTCATACTAGCCAGTAATATGTGTTTCTGCTCCTGAAACTTCTACGTTAAGTAGGGTTACATTATCACTGAATAGAAACTGAGATTGAATTTATTGACTCACTCTTTGTTTCGTTTAGGATTGACATGGCAGGTGTGACGCTGCAGCTCAATGGTTTAGGGAGATAACTGTCAATCACTAGGTCAGGGGTTTGAGCCCCGCTCTGCCTACCGAGGTTTGGGCGACCGGGTAGTATCACTAGCCCTCGTGGGGATCATTGCCTACTGCACGAATGTGCAAAAGGCAGATGAGTGCGTTCCGTTCTGATGTGATAGACGTTAATACAACTGTTTATGTTCCCATTGTGACTCGAAGATATTGTCTCTGGTCACATGTTAATACTATCGAAATCTAAGTAGCAGTAATATCATGGAGGCCTGAACAAAAAGTCTGCACATCGACAAAGCTTGGTCACTTAAGCCCAAGAAACTAGCAAACATGAATAAAAAGTGTAAAGAGAGCCAAATTCTTTTTATCTTTCTATCTGAACTCGTTTTTCACTAACTAATTCACATCTTAATGAATTTTCTGTTGTAACTGGTAGTAATGAACCGAGTTTTATCCGGACTTAGCTTTTTCCTCTTGAATTAACTGCAGATATCACATTGTATGACTTATTTCTCTTTTGATATAATTAGGTTTCTGATAGTGTTTCAGGGCAAACTGTTGTTGATCCCAAAGGTTATCTAACTGATCTACAGTCTATGATTCCCCAACATGGCGGTGACATAAACGACATGAAAAAAGCCCGACTTTTATTAAAGTCAGTACGTGAAACAAATCCAAAACATGCTCCTGCATGGATCGCATCTGCTCGTCTGGAAGAAATAGCTGGTAAACTACAGGTTAGCCCAATAAAATAACCTTTTCTATCTTTCCATAATTTATTTCCTACAATCAGCTGATCCGCAGTGCATGAAAGAAATATGATGGTTTCAATTCATTTACAGTAACTGTGATGGTTAACTTACCTTGTTTTTCAAAGTGCTTTATTCTCATTGTGCTGGTTGGAACACTTGATTCTTGATAGTGCATCATGCTGTCGATAACCGGGAAATGTCTTTACTCCTTCCACTGTTTTCCATATCTGCGATTTGCTCTTGCTCTAGTCAAGGTTACGACATGGTGTCGTCTAGTCTCTTGAAACGCCACTGTCAGTTGCACACTGGAGATCTGTCACATATGATAAGCAACTTTACTAGTCAAAGCTTTCTTTCCTTTGTAAGACACGTAGTGTCAGCCAGTAATTGAAACTCACTGCTTCTCAGAAGCTTGAAGCCGGTTCAACAATAAATACAAATGTTTCGTACATAAATATAACTCCAGAGCCGTAACGCATATCGTGTGAAATTGGATTCACTTTTAAAATTACAATATTTCAGCAAATAAAGTTAAGGAAAAAATCTCCATATTTATGCAAAATTTTGACTTGATACTTTTTCAAAATGAAAGATGCTTCAAATCTTGTCATTATTGATGCTAATCCCAGCTAACCAAAGAGGTATCTTCGAAGTATTTCTGCATTACAGACGACCATGCTTTGCTTTATTCCTTTAGCAGTCATTTATTTTCATTCAGAACCAACTTCAAACATAAAAAAGTATTTCAGTTTGCCTGTAACTTTGCTTCAGTGCCTTATCATTCAGTCACAGGATCAGTTCATTTTGACATCTATCCTACAGGTGTGACAAAAATCAAATGGTCGTTAAAAAAAAGAAACTGAAGTGATGGAAAAGATTTGTAGCTTAGGATGAAAATGGTGGTTTGATTTTATCTGAGCTCAGAGTCCACCAAACTACCATAAACCTGAAACTAGGATAAGTAGGAAGTCTTGGTTGATAACACCAGCAGATTAGGTAGAGGAATTTGAAGGGTTACTTTGTAAAACAGGATCCTATGTTATTGATTGAATAACCTCAACAGTTCACATTTGACGTTTAAGAATTACTAGTTGAATTGAGGAAAAAATCGAATCGGAATCAACTCAGTGATTTTGTCCACATTTGTGCTAAATAATTCTCGAGATTGTTCTATAGAATTCAGTCGACACTAAAGATCAAACATTACGTTATCGATTTGTATTCATTGAGGGGTAATATGAAACGTCTGACAACCTGCCAAGCGTAAAGTTTTTCTTCAGGACTGGTAGCGCATTGTGGTATGTGTAAATGTCTATCAGCAGCTCAGTATGCACCACAAAAGCACACTTCTAGTGAATTACTAAAAACCTACTGACGGCTACGTGCGAAAATAATACATATGTGTCCTTAAATATGTCCTTTTGAAACATCGGTAGCTTGTGACATTGCCATCTAGATGTAGAAGTAAAGCTATTTGATGACGACGTTTACACGTGTTGTTTTAAGGTGATTGAGCCGCATACTTAGTCATTGTCTATGCCGATACTAAATTTTGGTCGGAATGAGACTAGTTTTGGAAACGTTTCAAAGTTGGCAACTTAAGAACTGACATTCATTCGTAAGATTATGGATCAAAAGTTTGAGGTTGTGTGAATTTATATATGTATGACGAACTAGGATTTGCATTCTGCATTCTTTGATGATAATAATGTATCATAATTTCGTCTTTTGGGCGGGTTTGTAAAGTAAAGAGAGTCATTGAGGTGTATATTTTAATACACTAGGGCTGATGGTACTCAGTTCCACACTTCTGTCACCAGAATTATGGTTCTAAAGGCAGACCAACCAATCTAAATGCGTGCATACTTAAGTGCGAATGTGTACTATAGTATCTACGTTGTGCATTTGGAAATTATTTGTCGAAGTTAGTCGAATTTGTGTATGAAAATGGTTTCACCTATACAAATCCTATTTCACTGCACCATCTTACACAATAGTCAAGAAATCCGAAATCTGACAAGTATACTTTCTTACTATATGGTTTGTGTTATGTCCTAACCTGTAGACACACCATCCTAATTCCAGCTTTCTTTCTTTGCGAGACGTGATTGACTATTTTTTAGAGTAATATCATAGTTTGTTTACATTTTCTTGTCAAATCAAGGTGGCACGCAACTTAATTCTTAGCGGATGTGAAGAATGCCCTAAATCAGAAGATATTTGGCTTGAAGCAGCACGACTAGTGCCACCTGAACAAGCAAAATCCGTTGTGGCTCAGGCTATACGTCATCTGCCACAGTCTGTTCGGTTATGGGTAAAAGCAGCCGATTTGGAAACAGAGCATAAGGCTAAAAAAATTGTATACAAAAAAGGTGAGCTAGATTAATCTTGGTTATTTAGTTTTACGTGTCCAATGGTATTGAAATTGAGTTTAACATTTTGATAAGCACTATGTACATGCTTATTTTATTATTGGAAGCATGGCTTATTATTTCAGTCCATATCCATGCAGTAGGTTCTTTACTCTAATCCTTCCCCAATTAACAGCTCGAGCAACTGTTTAGTAGTACAGACTTTCAAGCACTAAAGTTAGCTCGACCCTATTTATATGTATATATATATATATCCCTGTCGTCACTTGTTCCAACCTTGTAGTGACCAACTGATGTAGCCCGCGTTGTGTATATATGGATGCTTGGACAATAATCTTCAGATGCCACCCCTTGAAGGTCGCTCAGTTCTTGATAAATGGACAAGGCGGTAACATAATAGGCGTATTGAAACGTCAAAATATATACAAAATACAAGGGTTTATATATATTTAAACTGGCCTAGGCTATTTCCAGGCCTTATTAGATTTGAATCCTGTTGATTTTTCGTCTCTTCAATCAGCCTGATATTCACACGATGGTTCATGTGCTTTCTCCTGAAACTTCTGGGCAAAACGATTGGTTGAAACAGGCTTCAAAAATTTAGGGCTTGTTATGCAGACCAGACCTCGGCAATCTTATTCAGTACTATAAAAAGCCTGTTATGGGTTACTAAGCTATTATAGGTGTTCACTTACTCTAAACAACAAATATAGGTAATGCTATTGCAAAAAAGAAAAAGCTTTTTATGAATAGCTAGTGGTGATTAACCGCTCGTTCCTATCAAGTGACGTGTTTGATGAATGCACAATATCATATAGCTGTTGGAATAACAACTTTGTTTAATTATGTTTTGACTCTCCAAAATGTTACACTTATCTGCTATGTGACATATGAGGATAGCCTAAGTGTTCCAGTAAGGCTAGAATAGCTAATTACTTTCTGTAGCGACTAGGAAAAGAGAAGTTTTAATTTGGTGATTAATCGCGCTCGAAATGTCATCTGGCAAAGTAATACTGTTTTATTGTGTAAAATATCCAATAGGCAAACTAACATTGAGATAATTTCTTTTCTGATTAACGATAAAATACATTTAATCACCGCGATATTTATCTTTATGAAGGTAAATAATTTGTGTTTATATTTGCACGTTGTTAATTTAGCATTAGAACAAGTTCCTAATTCTGTTAGATTATGGAAGCTGGCTGTTGAATTAGAGGATGAAGATGACGCTCGACTCATGTTAACTTTGGCCGTGGAATGTTGTCCTACATCTGTTGAATTGTGGCTTGCATTGGCGCGTTTAGAAACTTATGAACAAGCCAGGGTTGTTTTGAATAAGGCTCGTGAAAGTATTCCTACAGATAGACAAATTTGGTTTGCAGCTACTCGTTTAGAAGAGGCTCAAGGCAATCAGGCTATGGTACAAAAAATTGTTGATCGTGGTGTTGCGTCATTACAAGCCAATATGGTTGAAATTAATCGTGACCAATGGATTAAAGATGCAGAAGAATGTGAGAAAGCTAAGAGTGTCCTCACTGCTCAAGCAGTAATGTAAGTTTTCCTTTATATTCTATGTATTTCTGAATCTTTTGCCCTATTCGTGTGTCAGATGTATTTACTTGCAAGTCATTGAGTGATTGTGTTTTAACTAGAACTGGAACTAAGCACCGAATATACCAAATCCAAAAGCATTATTCACTGGAATACTGAGTTACGATAACCACCGATATTATTGGTTACACACAATATGAGTCCGAAACTCTTGAAGAAGTTTTGTGTAACCGGCATAAACCAGGAGTCCCTTAAATTTTGCGGTCGTGCACCACTACTGCTGATATCTAATTCACCCTTCAGCTTCCTCAAGAAGTAACCTTCAATTGTGAAGGCAGACGCTAAGTGTCGACCACCGTCATGTCTGTGTCAGCGCTCAAGTTCCTTTTGGTCGCCATCAACCTACTCGCTCTTTGTCTTCTAATCTTCCTACATGTCTCTCTACTAATATTCCTACTTAAGCATTTCCAACTAGCTAGGCCGTCGCTGGAACAGAATAACGCCAGTCATTCTGCGGAAACCTAGTACCATCTCCAGTCTTCTGTAAAAACAGTGACAAATGCTGTAATTGATCCTGAGGAAAAGGTTAGAAAAGGCCAGTACATTTCAGCAACGTTTTCTAAATTAAATCGGTGCTTATGAACGCAATTCTGCAGGCCCCGAACACTATGAGGGGCCGCAGCAGCTAGAATGTAAACTCAGTGAACGTGAACAGCAGAGTCTAAGAAAGTATAAAAGCCGGTGGCGACAGGAAACATTCGACAGTTATTTAGACTTGTCCGTGAAACTGAGTTCTCAGTTGACTAGCACCACAGATATTGAAAAATGGTGGATAGAGATTATCAGTTAGACCAACTTGATGTGTTACCTAGTATACGAGAATCAGGCATGATACCCTTTGACTGATCTCAACAGCTGATTGTTCTAGTCTTCGAAAAAGAGAATAAGTCTTCTTGTGATAGCCATAGGGGAATCGGTTTGAGGAATACTGTCCTGCATTCTAGGTACTGTAATTATTAGATACACAGCTGAAACTACGGGAAATCAGGTAAAATTATGACTTAGTCTACGGCGCGCAAGCCACATTTTCACCCACCACAAACACAATAACGTCTGGCACTATCTTTATTTCCTAATTTGAAGAGGGTATTAATTCCGCTGATATCTAGATCTTATGGCAGCGTCTCTCTAAAATGCGTACCAGGTAAGTACATTACTTTGATAAATGTTATATATTCCATCACCACTGGGCACGTTAGAGCGTGTGATTAGACGTCAGATGAGTAGTCAACGTCTAGTGTTAGCTGTCATCGGTGCTCACTATTCGCATTCTAAGTAAATATTGTTATAGACGTGCTTCTGTAGGTCTCTTTTTTCTCGTCTGACTTTACAAGAAGTCACCTCTCAGGAGACCTTTCGATTACACTACACACATGACATAGTCCTGCATGGCGGCGACGCTGACAAAACCCTTGTTTTCATAAACACATTGAGTGGCAACTACAGAATGTTCGGGATGTGTTCCCAATCTGAACGGAAACTCATTGCTCCCAGACTCGCCTGCGTTGACACCTCATCTGACAATAGAGCGTAAATTGGTTCAGCGCATCGACCACCTCACTTGTCAAGTCAAAATACGTTAGAGGGATCGGTCGTCAACGAAATCTGTGCACACATACAAACGACTCGATTGCCTTTACCAACCTACTCCACATATCGTGCTAATGTGATATTCCATTGCCTATCAAAGGCCGAGTGTACTGCCTTGCATTTCACACTCTTCTACCTCATGACTGTTAAACATGATCATTAGAGTTGGAGGATATCAAATTCTTCAGATGTCTTGAAGAATCGGTCGTATGTCGTGGGACCACTACATAAATAACTCTGAAACTAAGGTGTTGAGTTTTGTGTAAAAGAGGTAAGTTCCCTTGAGGAGGTTGTAGACTTTCCTCAACTCAGGTGGTTTTGGGATATTTTATACATGTGTAATCACTGTATGCCGTGTTGCACAATGTTACGTGAGATGGTTTTAGGTTGGATACAGGTCAGAGGTGACTAGACTAAGATATAGCGTTGGAGTATGAAGTCTCAGCCTATTGATCTTTCTCATATAAGAAAAGTAGACTTAAAGTAAATCGCGTTGAGTAGAGAGTCATCTTTTTACACTGGTTTTTAAAATAAGTACGCCCTGTGGAAAACAGAAAAGGAATGCTTAATGGAAGAAACTTTTCTGTAGCAATATTAGTTTCCGACTATAAATCAGAAGATCAAATAAAAATTTGCGTGCTGACTGGAATAGTTATGCAAGAAAGATTTACCAAAACCGAAGCAGTACCACTTTGAATGTTATAACATGGTTTAAAAAATCTGTGAATGTAATGAAAAATCAAATTTTTAGAAATAGAAAAATGTTATTTCTGAAACCCTGTATCTTAGTAACAACTTGAAAAAAAAAATTATATTTGGGGGTAAATAGTTCTTACAGTTTGCATCTATTGCAATTCCAGTTACTAAAATAACTTTTAAATGTAAAATTTAAACTTCGAAAGGTGAATTGCGATGACTTGTGCAATATCAAGAGGTTATAGGTGTACAGCTTTCATAAGGTTTGCATGAACTCTGTAAACGATACAAACGTTGTCTGCATTTATTGTGTGGTTAAAATCAGTCAAATGTTCTAAGAACCAGCTACTAGTAGATTCATGCTGAAATATATTGGAGAGTGATTTTAGTCAAATTACCTTGTTCCACAAAGGCAGGTGAATTGATAAATGCACATAGAACTAGCCAGCGAAGCTAGCTTATACCTCACCCCTAGTCGAAGCATTGGGTAAGTGGAGGAAGTTGATCTGAGTTTTGCAACGTATAAGGTCATTGTAAGCGCACCTGCTAGGTAATTTCTTAATATTTCTGTTAATGGGTGTCCACTGGACTGGAACAGTAGAAGTGGGATAATCATCCGATTTCAGTTTCATAGTTTTTATAATCAAACACTCAGGATGCTGGTTTTCATTGAAGACATTTTATTTAATTTAGTTCATCTTCTAAAGTATCAGGGCTGCTGCAAATGCGGATTTTGTGGCATAAAAAGCAAATCGTTTGCTTTCTGGAGACATCGAACCATGACAGTTTTTAAGTTTTCCGGTCCGCCTGTTTTCTGTGGATAAAGTTTTTGACTGCTCTATTATTCCATCGTTCTAGCTGTACATCGAAAAAATATATCTTAGAATCAAGCCCCTTCAACATAAACCTGACTGCTGGGTGGCATTTGTTAAAGTAATATTTAGTATCTTTTGGATTTTCTGTATAACTGATGATTATGGTACCATCTATATATCTCCCATGAAGTTCAAATCGGTCAATCATCCTATTCAACTGTATGTTTTCTATTTTCGACATGGAAAAGTTTGCAAACATAGGATCTAATGGTAAACTGATAGCTATGCGATCTTTATGCCTTTATATTTCATCATTAAAAGAAAATAGGATGTTCATGATACACCTCAGCAACAGCTTCATTGGAATAATGCATTGATATCCCAACATTTCACTTATTAGAATCAACATAGTCACATATGTCAACATGTTTTCTCAGTTAGTGCGACGCTGGCAAATAATCAGACCATATCTAGGGAGAATATCTTGTGAGAGCAATTATTATTGTCAATGAAATTGGCGAAATCAAAATAATCACGAATTGAAACTTGCCTTCTGATTAACTCCAAGAATTTGACTAACTGTTGAGCCATATGATAGTGTAGAGATGTTTCGTATATGTACACCTTTGGCAGGCCATATAGTTGGGAGATATTTGACTCGGATGGTCTCAGAGCTTTAACTATTTTGAATCTACGAAGACATCATTCATTCATTCATTTCTGAGTAATGTCTTGTAGTTTTTTCCCTTCTGCTTTGTTGCATTCTTTTAGTTCATGCGTTTAATAAACATCGTCTCATCAGAAGGGACAGATAGCATTTAATTTATATATTCATGGCGGTTCACCAACACAACCCCTGTCTCTTTATCAGTACACTCTATATTAATCTCCTTGTTACTTTTCAGTTCTGTGAGCTCTTTCTAGTACTTCTTAGTGAATATAAATCGACAGTTGGACTTTCGACTAATGAACTTGTAACAGTTACAAAGAACTGTTTACTCAAAGTATTCCTGTTGCTCTTTGGATGCATGCAGTTGTCCATACGTTTGATAAGGTTCTCAAGTTAAACATGAGCATGAAGTTCGCTGATATTTGAAAATTTGGTACAACATTTAGAACCTCAGAATAGTGCCTGACGACGATTTGGATGAAATGTTTAGATACATCTGCACCATTCAGATTGATTTTGAGCCAAATCACCTAAAGTTTCCTGCTGCTGGTTTACGTTATCATGCGGACTCCAACCGAAAAATCTACATCTTCCAATACAGCATATAACAACAATCAAAGACTTCAAAAACGAATCCTATTCTTTAGTCTAGTCACCTCTGACCTGTATCCAACCTAAAACCATCTCACGTAACATTGTGCAACACGGCATACAGTGATTACACATGTATAAAATATGCCAAAACCACCTGAGTTGAGGAAAGTCTACAACCTCCTCAAGGGAACTTACCTCTTTTACACAAAACTCAACACCTTAGTTTCAGAGTTATTTATGTAGTGGTCCCACGACATACGACCGATTCTTCAAAGACATCTGAAGAATTTGATATCCTCCAACTCTAATGATCATGTTTAACAGTCATGAGGTAGAAGAGTGTGAAATGCAAGGCAGTACACTCGGCCTTTGATAGGCAATGGAATATCACATTAGCACGATATGTGGAGTAGGTTGGTAAAGGCAATCGAGTCGTTTGTATGTGTGCACAGATTTCGTTGACGACCGATCCCTCTAACGTATTTTGACTTGACAAGTGAGGTGGTCGATGCGCTGAACCAATTTACGCTCTATTGTCAGATGAGGTGTCAACGCAGGCGAGTCTGGGAGCAATGAGTTTCCGTTCAGATTGGGAACACATCCCGAACATTCTGTAGTTGCCACTCAATGTGTTTATGAAAACAAGGGTTTTGTCAGCGTCGCCGCCATGCAGGACTATGTCATGTGTGTAGTGTAATCAAAAGGTCTCCTGAGAGGTGACTTCTTGTAAAGTCAGACGAGAAAAGAGAGACCTTCACAAGACCTCTAGTACTCACTGTTCACCTGGAAACTCAACTTATGCTCTTACACGCGCACAGCTTTTTAGGTGCAGAGTGGTGTACTTATTGGGCATTTCTTTCATCATTAAGAGACTATTATATGACCTCTCGACTGGCAGAGTTGATTGCAGTCTTCAGGTTGAGAAATAAAGCCAGTTTTGGTGTAGGTAAGTGTGACTGCGTTCTAGACCTGATTTAGGGTGAATATCTAGTTGGTGCGGGCACGACTGGTTCTAAAACCTGCCTGGTTTTCTTGCGTTTCTTTTCCCAAATTCTGTTGTGATGTCTAATGATTATTAAACTTGGAATCTTCGAGACAATATTCTTCAGTTTGATTCTTTTTTGTATATCACAAGAGTATTTCCGTTCCTTTCCAAAGAATGTGGCAATCGGTAACTGAATTAAGTTTCTGGGGTAGCCTATCGGCTTGTCATTGGTTAGCTAACACTTTGGTTAGTGTGATGAACACTGTTAATTGCGTGCATTCTTTGCTGTATATTTCGTTCAAGTTCTGTAATACGTGATTAAGTCTGATTTGTGTGTTTCAGTGTTTTTTGAGTGGTTCAGTGTTTCAGATTTTAGTTGGATGTCACTGCGTCTACGTGCCTTTCAATGGAAGTAGATTTCGCTCTCAGGGTGTGCGTGATAACCAAAGTCAGCGATTAGTGACTTCATATTTGCATGGAGATCCAAATGTGTTTCAGTCAGTGTTGAATTCAGACTCTACCATGCTATTACTCATGTATAGTCTCATGTCATTTGACCTAATAGACACGTCGTAAAATTAATAGATGAACTTCGACCAGCATTTGTTACTTGGCAGTTATATCACTTACTGATCTGAACCTTGTTCATGTGCAGTTTGCAAAGTATCTGTTTTTTTGTATTCCCATTTCGTTAGAAGTTCTGTACTCTGCCCTTTTCCTCTTTAGTAAAGCTATTATAGGTTATGGTTTAGAGGAGCAAGATAAAAAGCATACATGGTTATCAGATGCAGAGAATTGTGCCACCAATGGTGCAATTGAATGTGCTCGTGCTATTTATGCTGTGGCGTTGGCGCATTTTCCAAAAAAGAAGAGTATTTGGTTACGTGCTGCTTATTTTGAACGAAATCACGGCACAAGGTAAACACACAATATTATCTTGTTTTATTAGTTCGTATTGTTTCTGTTACAAACAATTTATTTTGGTAAGTTATTTATAAATTCCATGGTCCACACTGACATTTCTCACGATTGATTTGTTTTTCAATTGCACAACTACTGTTGGTTAAATATCTTTGTCAAGGGCTTGCAGAACAACCGAATTTCGTTGTTGATTACTTATCGATGTGTAGCCGAATATCGTTTATGATAATACTGAGGAACGTCAGCTTTAGTGTCTTACATTTATTTTCTCTCCACTTTGTATTGTGAATATTAACTGTAGCATTATTTTTTTTTCGTTTTGGGAGTGATCATAAGCTAAATAGATAAACAAACAACTTAATTTAGAACCCAGCCCAGAAGTACATCAGTTACAGTTACTCCACTTCACAGCATCATGCAGAAACGAAGTAGTTAGAAGCGATACTAATGTAGGCAAAATAATATAAAAATAAAGAAAATCAGTAGATGAAAGGTGAAACTTCGAAAATGACTGGGAGTGTATGCATTCATCCTATTGACTTAGAGAGTTGTCACGGCGATATCTGATTGTGAAAGGAAAACTGAGAAAGCATATTATGCTAATCAAAACTGTCTACTTAAACCCAACCGTTTTAATGCTTGTGGAGAGTTGTAGCCTGAAGTAATAACAACCGTCGGTGTCATCCAAGAATATCCAACGTCTCCATTCATATTTAGTTCTGTCATGGATATGGTGATAGACATAACTATAAATACTTCTTACTCTTTAGGGGACTGACTTACTCCTCGAAGAATTGATTGGTTAAATGACATACTCCTGCTAGGTGGAGATGCTGACAAAATTTAAAGTTTGCTTAACACCTTGAGCGAAATTCTGAGTATTTTTGGCATGCATTTTGCACCTATCAAATACAAGATGATGCATAAGTACTGGCCCATACTTTCCCCTAGTTTAACGACAGGGAGTGAAGTAGTACAATGTGTTGACTGCCTTATTTAATGGGGGAGTTGCATCAGCCATGATGGGTTGGTTACTGATCGGATGTCAGCTGGAATTTAAAAGACCCGTTTGGGATTTTTGAAGCCACACCATTCATGGTTCCGGTAGACGTCCGACTACCTATGAAAGGACAAAGATGTTGTGTAACAGTTTCCTCTGCCCTATTGTGCTACCGTGATAAGACCATATGATTTTGATCATAATTATTTGTAGCCTACTAGAATGCGGTGAAATCTCCTTGTCAGCAATTTTAAGGTTGAGTGCAACAAGGGAGGTAAGTGAATGGAATCACGAAGTACACCGAATTTAATGGCTTTGACACGTGTCGTATATACTCAGCCACCATCTCCCTTGACTTAGGATTTTAGATGTAGTAGTATTGGGTTGGAAGAAGACTAAGAATGGCCAAACCAAAATATAGCACAGTTTAATGAAGCAATTTGTCTTATTCGTCTAGGAAGGTGGGTACAAGCTACCTGACTAAGTCCTTGAAGTAATAAGAACCAGTGGTTGAAATTTTGGCGAAGTAACTCGAAATTGGTCTCAATAAAGCGGATGTATACATTCTTTGTCATCTTCGAGGTCCCGAAGATGTTCATTAACTGACTGCCACCATTCCCTAACATTAAAAGTTTGTTTTGTCGTTGAGTTTCCTAGTTAGGTGAACACATTACAAAATGATCGGTAAAATTTGTCCATGACTTCGAATAAAAACATGAAATCAGTGTATATCAGTTAACCTTGTGATACACCTTTTTAACTTGTATGTTATTCATTTTCTGTTCACATTGTTTTATGTATTACTTTGAAATGTTGAAATTCTAACTGATGCACTTTTTGGGAGTTTTTATGTTGATCCATCTCTATGTTTGGTTGGAAGTTGAGTACTTTGAATGATCAACCGTAGCTATGCTGACTGTGTTAATTGTGTTAAGGTTGTCCTCACCGGTACTAATTCGCAGCATAATGCAGTTATGTTGGAAAATAAAACCAATTCTATCTATATTCATAACAGACTATTACACTTCTGTTATGACTGCCTAAATATGACCACCAGGTTGGTGAATAACCTGTCTCTAACTGTGAGTGTCTAAAATCTTAGCTGTGATAGCTGATTCGACCAAATATTCAAACTCCATCAGGTTCTGGAACACAGAGACGCTTACCTTCCTCCTCCCCCGACAATAGCCATACTTCTCGACCTGAAGGTGGCCTTCGACTCCGTCGATCGAGAAGTCCTATGGCAATGTCTCGTTGAAAGGGGACCAATTGAGTACATCACTCTATTGAAGGCTCTTAACTTCAACATCTATGAGCGTGTTAGTGCCTATGATGAGATATCGAGTGAGTTGTGTAAATCGAGTGGTATCCGTCAAGAATGCCCATTCTCTCCTTCTATTCAATTTTATCATAGACATTCTTATGGAAGTCTCCTTCTCATCATCTGACTACACAGGGATTGACCTGATCACAGGACAATTTTTGGCATACCTAGAATATTCAGATAACATAGTCCTGTTAGGTGAAGGCGCTGATAAGATGCAGTCTTCTGGGCACCTTCAGTGGTTATTTTAGAATGTTTGTGATGCGCTTCTCGTCACCCATATGCAAATTGTTGCTCCAGGACTGGTCTTCAACGGTGCTCCAACTAAGAATAGGGACTAAAGTGGTTGAGTGCATCGAACACTTTACTTACCTGGGAAGTAGCATCAGCTCAGCGGGTCAGTGGCCTACGATATCTCTGTACGGATACAAAGGGCTTGGTTGGCTTTCGCCAACTTACACCATCGGTGGTGCCACCGCGATATCCGACTGTCTATTAAGGGTTGGGTTCACTGTGTTGCAGTCCGCTCTGTTCTACTGTAGGGCTGTGAGGCATGGGTATTAAAGGTTAGATAAATAAGAAGGCTTTAGGTGTTTCACCACCGTTTTCTTCGTAGCATAGGCCGTGTTTCATGGTGTCACCACGTGATTGATGCAGAAGTCGGGTGTAGAGTTTTAGGCAGGATAGGTGAGATAATTGACATGGTTGTGAAACTTCATCGACTGAGATGGTTGGGACACGTGTTACGTATACCTAGTCGATGTCTGCCTCATCGCGCCATGTTGGCTGAAGTAGGTTCAGGCTGGAAAATGGCCCGAGGTGGCCAGACTAAAACATGACACCAATGTATGAAGTCTCTGACTGTTGGTTCAAGCCATGTGGGTGATACAGACTAACCGGTTAGGGACCGCGGGACAAGAGAAACTAATGGTTGGAAACTAGATGATATGGCTCAGAACCGATGTCAGTGGCGCAGATGTATACATACATTATCCTCATCTTAACGAATCTCATCATTTTCTCATTCTTCCTTCTTCTCTTCTACTACTTTCTACTTCCATTTCTTTTGACGGATTTTTCTTTCCTCATCTTCCATTTTTTAACTTGTTACTTGATGTGCTGATATAAGATGAGGTGTGGCAACCCGGACTGTTACGCAGTAATGCCTGGTACTATGTTGATCTTGATGATGATGTGATCTCTGTTTCCATTACTTTCAGTCATCTCTTCTAGATGTCAAGCTGTAGTCTAGTATAGCAGCTGGTTGGCATTCAACAAATCATAATTTTAAATCCTACTCGTCTCATTAAGGCCTAAGCATTCAGGACGCATCATCAACCCTTCGTGACAAGTGTTGTCGATAGTCTAGCTTGCAAAACTTCCTGTGGATACCAATATACATACAGTCCCTTATATTTTTGGAAATAAATTAAAATTTTGTCTGCTTATTTTATAAGGTAGTTTTCATGATTTTATCCTATAACCACTAAATAGCTCGTCTTTGAATTTCCTGCAGAATATGCATCTCAATCAATTTTGAGTAACATTCAAGCATATTTGATCGAAAATAAACGTGAACATCAGCTTCTAAATGTTTATCTATTAAATATCTTTTCATTTATGTCTTGTTGCATAGGGAAACGTTGGAAGAGCTTCTACGTCAAGCTGTCACTCATTGTCCTCAAGCAGAAGTACTTTGGCTCATGGCAGCAAAAACACGTTGGCTTGCAGTGAGTTTGTTTGTATGAAACTGTCATTGATGAAAGAGAAAAAATAAGTGTTTTTTTTGTCCTTTTGCTCATTACCTAAAAAAGCTGTCAATTAACGTGGATTTCATTAATGCGTGGATTCAACATTCAGTCAGACAGGTTCATGAATTCCTGTGATCCATAGTTGATACTTTAATCTAACATTGCATTCAATGAGAGAGTATCAGTGTGTTTAAGGGCTGGAAGCGATCGCAGTAAGCTCTAGATTAACATTTCTTACTTTTTGACACATCAGCTTCGAGAAAAATAATGTCGCTTCAGAGACAGTTCAATCTTATCTAGTCGGTTTTCGCATCATTTTTGGAATTTTGGAGATGTAGCCTTGAGGATATATGTGACTATTTATAACAACAGCCATCATTTATTGATGAATGTTACATGTTTTTTCCTAGTAGATACTCAAACTGTAAAGTTTCCATAGAATATATTGCATCAATAAAGTAGTAAGGTGTTTCTAAACTCTTTGTAGCAGTTAGCAGGATCTGGTTGAAGTAGTGAATATGAAAGACATATGCTAAATATACTTTTAAATGATACCAGTAATTATATACCATTCACATTAACGAAAAGAAAAGCTTCATCAATAATATCATCATCATCAAATTAGTATAGGACTGGGGGTTACTGCACAACGGTCCGAGTTGTCACACCATATCAGCTCAGTAAGTAACAATGCACTGAGATGAAAGATCAATAAATAAACTAAAAAGCGATCGAAAGCTGTAAAAAGTCATCGTAATAGAACAAGGAGGAATCAAAAATACTGCGTGCCGTATGAGGATTAATATGCGGATAATACGTGGATACATCTGTTCCAGTGAGATTGATTCTATGCCACATCTCCAAGATTCTCCAACCACCGTTTTCTGTTGTTATGTAGACTCCAACTGGCCAGTCTGCGTCTTCGAAAGCGGCTCAGACATAGACTGACTGATAAAATCAGCGTAGAGCTTCGCACATAGGTGCATCACAGTAATACACAAAGAACAGGTGGATTAAAAAAGAGTGATATCTAAGTAGATAAAGTTGTGTGAGAGAGCAAACAATCCGAAGATATGTGCAAATATTTGAGCTTTAGAAGATGTCAAAGAGTGAATACGTCTGCACCACTACGACCTATTTTCAACCATGTCACTAAGAATCGTAAATCACTTATTCCTTTTGTCTTGGGGACCCCAACCTGGCAGTATTAATCTCTTCACACGGTTCAGACAAACAGTAAGTGACTTCATCGACTGCTGTCATGTCTTGGTCTGGCCACTCTGGAACCTCTTCCAACTTAATCCAGGTTCCCATAGCGTGGCACATCGAGGTAGGCGGTGGCTGGGCATGCACAATACATATCCAAGCCATCTTAGCCGACTAAGGTTCATAATCTCATCAATTGACTTGCCTGTCTTGCCTAGGACCCTGCACCCAACCTTGATATTGCTCACACGGTGATTCCGCCAAACACACGCGAGCAATGCTACGAAGGCATCTGTGATCAAAACCTAGTAATCGCTTGATGTCTTTTGCCCTTAACGGCCATTTCTCAAGGCCATGGAATACAAAAGAACAGGACGGATTGCAGGGCAGTATACTTGTCCTTTTATCGGCAGTCGGTTGTTTCGCCAGTTGGTGCCACAGGTTACGCAAGTTGGCAGATACCAAACGGACCTCTTGTATCCGTGCTGAGATTTCGTCAGCAGCCAGCCCTTTCGGGCTGATGCAACTCCCCAAGTAAGTGAAATGGTCGACACATTCTATCACTTCACTCCCTATCACTAAACTGTAAGTACTTGCAGCGGACCAGTCCCGGAGTATCATCTTACATTTGGCAGGTGCCAGCGAAACGTATACCAAACATACTCAAACTTCTGCTCAATGCGTTCACAAGACCCTGCATTCCCTCAACGTACTCCCCTTATAGTACAATATCATCTGTATGCTCCATGTCAGTCAGATAACGCCCACAGAGTAGGTCAATCGTTGTGAAGTCAGACGTACTTAAGGTTATGTTCATTAGTACCTCTATGATGAAGTTAAATAGGAGCGATGAGATTGGACATCCCTGGCAACACTACTAGTATGGTAAGTGTTGGTCGTCGGTATATATCCCTGTATCCCAGAACCTGTTGGAGGGTGAAAATATGGTCGGTACACCCTCTTCTAGGTCTAAAACCTGCCTGGTTTTCTCAAGCTCCAGTTAGGCGTCGGATAACTATAGACTCTCGTATCTTGGACACAATATTAGTCAAATTAATTCCCCTGTAGTTGTCACAGGAAAATTTCTCCCTCTTTTTATAGATTGTGTGATGGTGCTACCTCTGACTTCCATACACTATCTAGTACCTCCATCACTCTAATCAGTATTTTCTTACCTCCATCTTTAAAAACTTCGGGTGCTAACTGTCAGGTCCTGCTGCTTTCGATCGTTTCAAGTTCGACACAGATGTCTCAACTTCAAAAAGAGTTGGAGGACCAACATCTACTTGCCGTTCAGGTTCAGGGTGGATTTTGAGCGATTGAAGCGTTGCTGGGGTCTCCAAAGTGTTCAGTCCAAAGTTCTATCCGTTTGTCGTGAGAGGTTATAAGGGTTCCATCCTTTTAAGTGTTGATTTCACTGACAATCGTCTTTTTCTTGCTCTTATCCCTAATAAGCCTAAACAGTTGTTGAGTGTTCCCCAAAACGGATGCCTTTTTCATCTTTGTTGCTGTTGTCACCCACCACTGCTAGTGATCGACGTGGAGACTTGGTCAACTTACGTTTGAGTTGCTTTCACTTTTCGTCGTGATCAGAACCTATTGTTACTAGTTTTCTCGCATCATTCACTTCGGATGACATCGTTGAAATCCATTGACGCTTACCAGCCTTTAGGTGTATGTCACTGACTGTCTTTACCGCTTATTCTACAACAGACTAAATGTCACGCCATACTTCCTGAACATCTTCATCAATATCAACATAGTACCAGGCATTACTGAGTAACGGTCCGAGTTGCAACAGCTCATATCAGTGCCTCAAGTAAAAAGGCAGTAAGGTCCAAGATGAAGATAAGAAATTCAGTCAGAAGAAACATAAAGTGCTCAAAGATAGGAAAGAAGAATGAGAGTGGTGAGATTCGTTAAGATGAGGATAATGTATGTATACATCTGCGCCACTGACATCGGTTCTGAGCCATATCATCTAGTTTCCAACCATTAGTTTCTCTTGTCCCGCGGTCCTAACCGGTTAGTCTGTATCACCCCACATGGCTTGAACCAACAGTCAGAGACTTCATACATTGGTGTCATGTTTTAGTCTGGCCACCTCGGGCCATTTTCCAGCCTGAACCTACTTCAGCCAACATGGCGCGATGAGGCAGACATCGACTAGGTATACGTAACACGTGTCCCAACCATCTCAGTCGATGAAGGTTCATAACCTCGTCAACCGACTTACCTCTTCTCCCTGAAACTCTACTCCTGACTTCTACATTACTCAAGTGGTGATACCACGGAATACGGTGGTCTGTACTACGAAGAAAACGGTGGTCAAACACTTGAAGCCTCCTCATGTCTTCCACCTTCAATGGCCATGTTTCACAGCCATAGAGTAGAACAGACCGGACTGCTGTGCAGGTCCAGTACACGCGACCCTTAATAGACAATCTGAAATCACGGCGGCGCCATAGGTGGCGTAAATTGGCTAAAGCCAATCGAGCCTTTTGTATCCGTGCAGAAATCCCATTGGCAACTAACCCACCAGGGTTGATCCTACTTCCCAGGTAAGTGAGGTGGTCGACACACTCAATCACTACACTCTCTATTATTAGCCGTGGCACAATTTGCATTTGGATGGTGAGAAACGTATCCCAAACGTTCTCAAATTGCCACTCAAAGTGTTCAGAAGACTTTGTACGAGCACTGCTATCATATTCAAATAAATGCTTAGCTGTCTCTTCCTTTAACTTGGACTTAACGTTCCCGTTTTCCAATGAACTATAAAAACGCTTTACTAACGCCTTTTTCCTGCAGTCAGTAAGGCGCAGACATACATGAGCCCGTACTAACGCGTGGTTGGAATCCTTACTGGTACTCAAGGAAGAGAGGCTATCCTCCACCGATCCTCTTCAACGATGACTTATAGCAATGTGATCTATCTGGGTACATCGTTGGTTTAAGGTTGATAGACGCTATATAAAACAATATCTTTGCATATTCTCAAAGTTAGTGCTGGCCAGAAACAAGTGGTTGTCGGAGCAAAAGTGCAAACAAACGATCACGGTTGGTGGTTCATTGGCAGCGGATTCCCTAAATACCTCCCAGATGCCTCTCCGATTGGCTTAGCTCTTACTTGAGCGTTAAAGTCACCTGTGATTATGACTACACCTGAGCGTTTTGTTTTCTGTAACAAAATCGAGAGCTTCTCATAAAATTTATCCTTTGCATCATTCGAACTGCAGTCAGTGGTGTGTAGGTGGGGATTACGAATAGGCATCGCCTAGTCTCACAATCCTCCTTAGTCCTCACAGATCTATTCAGTTGAGCACCACATAGACAGTTTTTTTGATGGTATCCAAACGAAAAGCACTCTCTTTACCCTACAGCTCAGTGCTATGTCTACATGGACGAGTCCCACGAGAGCTAGCCATCGGGTCTCCGGATACTCGTAAGGTGAATTCTGAAGATTCACTAGTACGGTCAATTTAATAACCACACTTATATCCTGTATGTGTCTCAGAGACAGCATAAATCCATAGCTAGAGTTTCCAGAGTTTTGCTAGCGATGGTTGCTGTCCAATTTGGCATAGAGTGCAGACCTTGAAAGGTCATATATAAGATCGATAGTGGGGTTTTCGGAGACTGGGAATGAGGTTTCGATGACTTTGATCGTTCGCAATAATCGCGGAGTAGAAGGTTGGTGAAGACGTAAGAGGCTCATATTAGTACTAGAAGGTGAAGGCAAAGGAGGAGAGAGTGAGTTATGTTTGATTGGGTCTTGTGTACTACTGGAAGCGTATGCGGTGTTGACACTTCCCGGCTTTCCGCACCATGGAAGGCTAGTTCTTCTTGACTTACCTGAAGAGGATAGGATGGTGCTTGATCACCGAGCTAAGCAAATGGCTGGTCACATATGGCTTTTTGGGGGTTTGAGATGTTGGTCTTTTGCTTTCGAACCCGGCCAAGAATCCCTGTTGTAGACAACGGCACACCTTAGGGTGCTAGGATTGTGTTGTTTTGGTGGGCAACCTTTTCTAACCTTCCCTTTTGTGGGGAAGCAGCATCAGCTTGGCATTGCTGGTCATCCAAGGGTAACACCTTACTACTGTGAAACCTCAGCCACTCGGCAGTACGACTTCGTCCTACAACCCCACTATAGTGTAGCAACTTACACTACAATGGCAACTGTTTTTCGTTTTACTGTTATCCAACAAACATTTCTGCAATGATAGGACCTCGAGGGAACAGCATATCTCTTGGGGTCATTGTGATATGCAAGCCAGAACAGAACGTCAAGGTATCAGGTATCGGGTTCTGCAATGCTAGAAAGGTCAGCTCATAAACGGTGAAACTAACTCTAGTTATTTTCAGCTCCCCAGTCATACCATCATAATAACATTGCTGGTATTCAATTATGAGGTCCTATTGCTTGCCTTACAGAATGTAGCAGCAGTTAGGTGTCTTCCGAGGATAACCAGCCTTCTTAGTTGATGCTACCTTTTCCCTCAACTGAAAGGAGTGTTAGGAAATGCTATTCGTAAAAGTAGGTTATTTTTCTGTCTCCTAACGGATTTTTGGCAATAATAGTGTTAAATTTTTTCGAGGTATTCCAATACAATTCATTATAAATCCGAAACGTCCAAACACTAGTGTAGGGTCGATCTCAAGCATCTGTTTCGGGCTGTGCAATCTCACTCTCAGGTCAGCAAGACCATTCATACTAATCCACTTTTTCAGGTGCCTCACCGAATGTAACCTTCCCGAATAAGGACTTTTGGGGAGCACTGACTGCCGGTATGCTCGCGCCAGTCCCATCTGACTACCATCAAATTTACTGAAATGGGCCGTACACAGAATTACTAGTTCGTACTTACAGAATGATTGAGCGATTAGTTTAAAATGCAATGTGTACTGTTTTGCTTCACCTTTCATGATAAAGTCTGCCAGTGTAAGTGTGTACTGCATGATTTATTTGATATTTATTCGCTTTAAAGAACACTTCGTTTTTCGTTTATTTTCTTTCACGTTTCTTCATAGGGCGATGTACCAGCTGCACGTTCTATATTGGCACGTGCATTTGAAGCAAATCCTAATTCTGAAGAGATATGGTTAGCCGCTGTAAAACTTGAATCAGAAAATAAAGAGTATGCACGTGCACGTAGATTATTGGATAAAGCCTGTGCATCTGCATCAACAGCTCGTGTATGGATGAAAGCAGCTAGACTGGAATGGTGTTTAGGTGAACTGAATAAAGCCCTGCAAATGCTTGAAAAGGCCACGTCAACTTACTCTCAAGCACCAAAATTATGGCTGATGCTTAGTCAAGTATATGAACAAATGTCTAATAATGAAGAGATAAAACCCGAAGAAGCCAATTTATTCAAAGAAAAGGCTAGAAATGCCTATCGCGAAGGTGTAAGTTTATGCATTTTCCTCTATATTTTAGCATTATCAGTCATTTCACTCTGATGTTTAAACTAATCATCCAATAATATTAATCATTTATGCCGTTCTGTAGAAAAACATGTATTTATAAAAACATTATTTTTTCATCTTTAGTTATTTACTTAGAATTTTCGAAAACGGTTTATGCTACTCATGATTGCCATTTGTAATCAGCATCCATGTACATGTTTGGCTCTTGGGTTACGAGCTGAACATATTGCACAAGAGTGAAAACTCGTCATTCAACATTTGGGAGTTGAGGTCAACTATACTGTTGTTTAAGTGATAAGTAAGTGTAGTCCTAATTCATGAAAGCTGCGTAGTGAATACTCTTGATAAGCATGTATATTTCTGGATCAATCAACAATGTTAGCTAGTCGCTTTGTTATAATGTGAAAAGAAGATAATCGTGTCGCTCATCTGGGGCGAGGCACATAAGCGTCACTCTTAGATTGATTCAGTTCTGGAGGCCGGGTCTTTCAAACTATTTAATTTCTGACTGGCTAATTGTATAGACTAATAGTACATAGAAACAATGGGGCTAATAGCTGCTACATTGACGTGGTTGTTGAGCTGGCATATCACGATCACCTAACGAGCTACTCTGGTCGAACGCTTGTTCGTACTAAAAATGTCACTTGGATAATGGTAAGGCAAGAAACAGTCATTTTTATAGTGCAAGTCATCACGCTATAATGGGGGTCCGAGGGCGAATTCGTACTGCTGACCGGACAAGGGGGTGACAGCAGCAAGCTGTTTCCCGCAGAGGGTCAGCGGTACCATGCTGATCCAAGCTCTCCTATAGGAGACGAGAGGTGGTGGAAAAGAATGGCCTCGAAAGCACTACATTGTCTTCTACCTTGTGTTTAACTGGTGCCGGTGGTATGAATTTAGCTGGATTCGGAAACTACAAACCAAGATCTCAGAATTCTGAGATGACCATGTGATGGGGCTCAAGCAGATATTCTTTGGACTCCATTGCCACTCACTACCATTATTAATCCAATTTATTTTTCAGGCACCTGAAGAAAAAATAGCCTTCCTTGATGTAGACAGCCGGCAAGTGTCAACTGCCCTGACAACTTTTTCAACCCTCAGCTTCCTTCAGATTATTATCAACTTCCCACACTCTCACCTTCTAATCTCACCACAAATATTCCCACTTCCTACTTAATTTATCCCAGCTCTGCAGGGCTTAACAACGATCTGAGTTTAAGAAACAGCGTTATCAGACTCATGAAAACACGCGTCAAACTACACATCAGAGGTTTCAATGTCCTCACCCTCCATAGAATGAGCCGACACGTTTTGCTAGCCAAAACTAGCATCTCGGGCCATGGATGTGGGTTGTTTTTGAGACGCATACAAGATCCAGATTTTTGATTGTTCACTTAATCTCACTTGACCAATATGGTGATTCTGCGAAATTCAGCTTACAACTTTGCACAGATTCGATGGCTAGTTCTCATAATCTTGCAGATGAAGGTATCCTATTAGTTACTATGGCAAAAAGTGCGCTACTCGGTTGGATGTCAGTCGACAGTCGTCTGTGCGCTGTTCGACTGAACGGTACAGTGAGAACTAATGTAAACAGTGAAACTCGTTGTTGTCTTTCTGTTATCTCTGCTTACGCAACCCCTGACTGCAGTTCGAAAAATGTCTAGCCTCCTACTGAAAGTTAGACTTCCAGACGTGGTTGTTATTGCAGCTGCTTTCAATGCACAAGTGGTCAGGCAGAAAGTTACTAGGGTGTTACATTCGGAATCCTAAACAGAACGAAGCGTTTCAGAACTTAGAGTCCTTTATGGACCTCCGCTTCTTTAGGTGGGTTAGTGTTGACTGACCATGGGACATGGTACACTGAAGCTGACAATATTGGAGCCGTGGACCAGCCAAACTACTTTTCGAAGTGCTCCGTCCAGGGTTCCAGAGAGAGAGAGAGAGGAAGCGTAAGCGCATTCTTGCAGGGCGCTTGCTCAATGAGCAGTGGTAGAAACTCAACTATAGGCTGAAAAGTAGTCTAAGGAATTAACGCTATTAATAACATGTAGCGAAGTTTACTATAGCGATCTCCAACATTAGACAGCTGTCGAGACTCATCAATGAACCTGGGGCAAAAAAACTGAATGGCTTGTGCAACAGTAGCGTAGAAGAATGGATCTGTGATTCACTAGCAGAAGACATGGCTGTAACGATAGATGGGACACTCTAAGGAACAGTTCGGTGGGCTTCCAGCTAAACTTCGGTTGCCTGCTATCTTGTGTGGTCCTGATTGGAAAATTGAGATGGGGCCTTCAAATCATATTCAAATTGAAAATGTGGTGAAATGAAGCGAGGACTGACGGAAGGGCTGAATATGGTAGTAAAAGTGATATTTAAAGACAGGCTAACTGAAGTTTAAGCTAACGTATGAAAAGCAAGTAGGCTCCCCACTGGATGATCTTTGTCACTTATTGTCACAGTCTTCAAGAAAGAGGATAAATCGTTTTGTGGTAACCACAGGAAAACCAACCTGATTCTGTAATAATCAGTAGGCATCTAAGTTGAGCTGGTGAACAGCAAGCGCAACGAAACTAGGCAGGTTTCAGACCTAGTCGTGAGCGTATCGACTGGATATTCGCTCTACACCTTATGCAGAAATACTTATAGATTGTTGACAACAGCTGCATTTCTCCACCTGAAGATGGCATTTGACTACGTCGGCTGGGAGATCGTCCTGCGACAGCGTCTCTCACTGAAAAGGATGCCTAGTAAGTACATCGATCTTTTGAAGGCTGTGCACTTAAATACCTGTTGGCGTGTTGCAGTTTATGGTGAGTTGTCAGGTCATTCGTGTACGTCGAGTGCTGTCCACCAACGATTTCCACTCTCCATTTGTATTCACTTTTATTATAGACGTACTTGTGGAGGTCTCCGTCCCGACTTCTCACTTTACAAGGGTTTACATTGTCGCAGGAGAATTCTTGGTATACCTAGAATACGCAGATAACACAGTCCTATTAGGTGAAGACGCTGAAAAAGTGCAGGATCTTCTGGACGCATTGAATTGGAACTAGAGAATGTTTGGGATGTGTTCCCAATCTGAACGGAAACTCACTGCTCCCAGACTCGCCTGCGTTGACACCTCATCTGACAATAGAGCGTAAATCGGTTCAGCGCATCGACCACCTCACTTGTCAGGTCAAAATACGTTAGAGGGATCGGTCGTCAACGAAATCTGTGCACACATACAAACGACTCGATTGCCTTTACCAACCTACTCCACATATCGTGCTAATGTGATATTCCATTGCCTATCAAAGGCCGAGTGTACTGCCTTGCATTTCACACTCTTCTACCTCATGACTGTTAAACATGATCATTAGAGTTGGAGGATATCAAATTCTTCAGATGTCTTTGAAGAATCGGTCGTATGTCGTGGGACCACTACATAAATAACTCTGAAACTAAGGTGTTGAGTTTTGTGTAAAAGAGGTAAGTTCCCTTGAGGAGGTTGTAGACTTTCCTCAACTCAGGTGGTTTTGGGATATTTTATACATGTGTAATCACTGTATGCCGTGTTGCACAATGTTACGTGAGATAGGTTTAGGTTTGTAAAATGTTATAGGTATTCAGACTAAAGCATAACATTGGTGTTTAAGGTCTTTGATTGTTAGTGTGAGCGTAATTGGAAGATGTGGACATTTCCACTGAAGTCTACGTGATAAATAATTTGGTGTTTGGAGATTCTTGGTGATATTGCTGCGAATCTAACCATTGAGTCTGAGCTCTCCGTGTTAATTAATTGAATTTTGTTGTGGAAACTTTCCGTTTTATCCCTTTTCATTCTTGTTAGTACCTATCACGAAAATATTCATCTTCAACTTAGAGTAAACTCACGTTTCGTGTTAGATTCTAACCAACTAGATGTAGTGATAAATTCAGACTCGCTGCTAACCAACCATTTATATCGCAAGTAAGTCACTCTGGTATTTGATCACTTAAGTCGATAGACCTTTGTCCAATATTGAAGGAGTCGAAAAATCTGGATGTACTCATCAACGTTTGTTCTTAGTCGTGCCATAGACAGTGAGCTCAACCTATTGTGTAAGAGTTGATTTTACTACCTGTCTGTCTAGGCCTCGGTAAGTGGATGGGTTTGGAACCTATGACTCACTGGTCGCACGTCATTTCCCTAAGTTTTTGAGTTACTTGATAACGACGTCCATTACCATTCAGTAAATAGTTCTTGGTTTTTGTAATGGGGTATAAATTTAACTAGGCTGTTTATAGTTGTTTCAGAACGAATTACTGTTGTTTAAAAATCACACGTTATGTGGTTTTAGGAATATGTATCGCGATGGACGTGGACTGGTTTAATTCAGTTGTCACGGATCTTTGAACCTAGGTTTCATGCTTGTTGACACTTATCAGCAAGGCGTATCTGCAACCTCGAGGGAACTGATCTTTGTTGTGGAATCTGTAGTCAGCGACTTTACCATTGAGCTGTTCGAACCGTGGTCGTCGATGATGATTATGATGGAGATAGAGAAGAAAATAATAAGGTTGAATATGAAATTGACTGCGAGTTTTACTTTTCCCATTGGTAACTGCAACACGGGTTTGAATCCCACAGGTGACATCAGTGCTTTCAAGTTTACAGATTCACTTGCTGATGAGTGCTTATAAGCACGAAATTAGGTCTAGGGCTTCCTGCCGATTGTCTGCTACCAACCAACGTCCATCAAACTGCACCGCGATAGTGTGCCTCTTAGCTTGGTAGACATATTGTAAAATGGTCGATAGAATTCGGTTAGCACTAATGACTAGACAACATGAAATTGTTTGCTCTCCAAGTGACCAACCATTGTAATGTGTATTCGATAACATTAATAGTTTTTCTGCGTTTGCTGTCAAACAAAGTTTTCCTTACACTGAATAAAATGATGAACTATAATGTTTATACTGTTGTAACCACTTTACACAGCAACGCTAGGCTAACTGAAATTCGCGTTTTACTTTCCATATATATGTATTATGAACTTTTTTTTCTCATTTTCTTCGTCAGCTTAATCATAACCCGCATTATACTGCACTATGGTTACAGTTGGCTAGATTTGAAGAACGACATGGTAATCTGACCAAAGCGCGTTCAATATTGGAGAAGGCTCGTTCACAAAATCCCAAAACCGCTGAATTATGGTAAGGAGCATTTATATGTCCATCGCGTGCAGAAGGTTGTAATTTATAACTGTTTATTTAATTGCGTAGGTGCCTAAGGACTTAGGTAAGGTAGTCATCCGAACTGACATCCAGTGATGACATTCTTCTGTAATCTACACTAGCTTTGCTGCTCATTTGCTAACAGAAGTATCTATTCTTTCTTCAACTTTGGAAGGATTGATCTCTTCTTGAAGAGTCTGTAATTTACTTATGGTATGTCAAATACATAGTTATTTTACAAGAGGCCATCGTATGCGGAATTAAGTATACTCAGCATGGGTTTCGCACTTGTTTGGTGTAGTTGGTGCTATAGATCTGGTGCATACTGACGCCTATTTTCAATATTGGAAGTGAGATTATTGAACATGAATACTTATTTAAAAAGTTATATCAACTTCTATAGGCTAGTTGTTCATGAAATCTCAGCACTGATACAAATGACTGCTATTTCATTAATGAAGTCCCATTATTTGTTGTGCTTGTTAAGTGTCCAAATTGTCTACCAATCAGCATCTGTATCAATATACAATCAGTGGAAGTAAATAGTCAATAAGGTACTGATCCTATTTTGGCTGAGATAACTGAGACTTGGTATTCATACCTTGTTTATTGGAGTGAAGTTATATGAAAAGTGAACTAAGTATGGCTAGGCTGAGATGGTTACAATTCACAAAGTTCCTCAGAATATGGTGTGGCTCATGTATGAAAGTGTAGAACACCTTACTGACATTCCTGAAGTGTTATAACTCGTTGGTTAGATTTTATAACGTGAACCAAAACAGTTTCACAATATTGCACATGCTTTCAGTTTTTATCAGCTTTACAGTTCTGAGCATTTCATTAATCAGCACTTATTTATCCTTCTTGTTTATCTTGTCATGTTTTTACTTCTCTTGCGAAGAGTAGCAACTTAAACTGTCGCAATTTTTTCTACGGTGTTCTCTATATCTCTATCTATCTGATGACCTCCAAATCTCCCTTTTTCTCACGTTGAATTTGATTGTTAGACAACACAGTTGCATACTTCATGATGTGACAAACCGAAAATTTATAATAGAATGGTGAAAATCAAAACAATTTGAGTATTAAGAGACAGAGTTTGAAGCGGATACGTATTTTCGGTAAATTCTCATCAGGCCTTACATTTACATCTACAGATTATTCAGCATACTTATTTGATATCAACATGGTTAAATTAATTCGGGTATCTGAATTAGAAGATAAAACAAAATCTAGGAGAGTTTATATATTCTCAGTAGTCAATCCTTGTAGGTGTGTGTGTACAGGGATAGAGGGGAAATAAAATTATTGTCGTATAGCAATTAGATAGTGAAATGTTAAAATTCTTAATCAATTATGAAAATAAGGACGAAAAGTAAAATGACAATGATAAGAGTGCAAAAAGAGATAATATTTACATTTACACTTATCCGGGTGACCGGGAAGGAATTTATTGTAATTGTATCTGGGTTGAAGCTGAAGGTCATGTGAAGGAAAGGGAACGAACAAACATCTTCTGAATACATAAATTGGGTTTGACAAATTTATTGCTATGGCTTCTGCTGTGCTTAGCAATCGGAGGTGCACAAACCTGGAATATTGTGATGAAACTTTGTAAATATTATTAAATCCCGAGGTTTTGTCAATCCTATGCTAAGTATCCACTAGATGGGCGAGTATTGAGCTATTGGTGGATTTCACTCTTCCTTCGCCTAACCAAGCTGTACAGCGTTCCATGAAGCCATGTGGGCTTGCCGAGTCATTCTGCTTATGTCACTATCCCCACAGGAGCAGTTAAATTTATAAATGCACATAGACGTGGGCAGATTCGGAAGCCCACCCTTCAACTGCATCGGCATCATACCGCGAGTCGTAAATTTCAAACAGAGTGTGCCAGCAAAGAAGACTTTTTGTATCAGATTTCTGGGTTTCAGTGTCATTGTTGAGTATTGAAAAATTAGTCTTTGTTTAGTGAATTTGTGGAGACTATTAATTGTGGTCGTATTAGTACCACTGTAGTGGGCATTGCTGATAAGAATGGATATAAGTAGTATATGTTGAGATGGTGGCAGAAATCATAAAGAATTACCTACAGTGGGTAAGGATTCCGCCAAGAGAAACGCAAGAGAAAAAGCAGGTGTATGAAAAGCAAATCAAGAAAGAAGCAGAAGAGGAAATGAAGCACATTTTGTAAATGACGGTTTTAGTGCAAGGTGTACCACATTTAACGACTACTGTCCCACTTGTTGATAATAGACATTCCTTCCCACGTGTCTTCTTGTTTCTTTCACCACCAGTTTTCCGCCAATGAGTTTCCACTTGTTTTCAGGTAATTTCTTACTTCAACAGTGGTTTTTATTATCCGACATTAATTTAAGAAATATCCGTTTGTAGGACTTCGTTGGGTTGTTTTAATCATTGGTAAGGTTTATAATTCTTAAAGACCGAGAGTTGAACCTTGAATGGAATTACAGACACAATCGTTGAACAAAACAGTTGTCGGATGTTTTCTTGTTCTTCATGGTTTTTGAATTAATCGCACTTCGTTATAGTTTCACCACCAATTGAATTGCTTTACTACTTTTTAACATTATTCATACCTGGAAATTTTTACGTTACTCCTCATTCTTTTGTTTTCCTTAGGCTAGAGGCTATCCGGTTGGAGGTGAGGGCCAATTTAAAACCTGTGGCTGATTCACTCCTCTCAAAAGCTCTTCAAGAATGTCCAACATCAGGCTGCTTATGGGCTGAAGCGATTTCATGACTCCTAGAGCCCAACGTAAAAGTAAATCGGTAGATGCCTTAAAGAAGTGTGAACATGACCCATTGGTACTTTAGCTGTATCTAAGTAAGTCGCTTTTTAAAACATTTGATATATTTCTGCTAATCCTTTTTTAAATTGATTTTACCCAATTTACCTCAATGATTCATTCCTCCCTTTGAATCACAACAGTTAGGACTATATATATATATATATATATATATATATATATATATATATATATATATATATATATATATATATATATATATTCCACAGAAGTCCACTTCAGAAACCTGGATTGCAAAAGCAGAAGAGACTGTAGGAAAGTCGTTGCTTACTAGTGATCTCCAGATACTCCAGCCCCTTATTTACACTTAAAACATTTATTTTCAGATAGTGGTGTAACTGTTTCAATGAAAAAAATATTCTATTTCTTTCACCTTCCAGTTTCTCCTTTTTATACAAAGCATTTTTACTTTACGTGTTCATAGTATGTTTTGGTGTGAACGGCTTGTCATGAAAGCACGTAATTGGTTCACGCGGACAGTGAAACTGGAACCTGATCTTGGCGATGCATGGGCTTATTTTTATAAATTTGAACTACAGCACGGGACAGAGGTAAAAAAATTTCATGTTTTTGTTTTGTATTACACAATCACAACTAAACTCAATGCTTGGATTTACCACTGACTAATACTACTGTTTATTTTGAGTAGAAAGTGCGATATTTAAAAGCGATATCTTTTGCATTTCTGGTAAAAACTTGGGTGCCGTTCATCTTATGATCATAGCCGAAGCGTGGATAATAGATGATGATTGAGTTGATTTTGATCTTGAGTGACTGTGGAACATATTGAATTAGGCGCTTTTTTCCTAATCAGGGTCGAGAGGTTTGAACTGTCACCCATCTGTTAAAGTGTAGGCAGGCGTAGCACTGAATATCTGTTTCACAGTTGGGCACATGAATCTACGCATTGCTGCTAGTTTGCGGCATGATTACCATTACATTTTGTGTCTCAAGTAGTCATCTCTTGTCTCAGTTTCTTTTCATGTTTAGTAGTTTTCGCCACTACAGCAGTTTCCAGAGTTTTTTTTCGAAACACTGTGCTTTCTTAAGTAAATACGTGATTCGCATTACATTCCATAGGCAACCGTGTAGATCAAAATTACGTGTGATTGTGATCAAGAACCTATTCGAGCTTTTAATCTGTAACTTCATAATCAATAATCTGTACATTTGTACAGTTAACGTTTTAGATTGTTTATTGACTAAATCAGGTTTTCCGAAGAATTCTGCAATAGTTAACTTCAAAATAATGTCACAAATTAATCTCTGTGTTAGTTAGTTACGGTGAACACTTTATCGTACAGTCGCAAATGGTTCTCATTTCTTAGTGTTATATCCAAAGACTTGCTTGATAATATTGTAATATTTTTTTTCCTTGAATTACGCATCGCAAATTATTCCTCACTTTGTGTATTGTTTTACCCAAAATATCATCTAATGTTCAGTTCAGGTTATTAGTGAACAGATAAATAATGTGTTTGCGGAGTATCCATTTTAGAGTCCTACTGTGTCATATTACTACCTGTAAAACTTCAACATAGTCATTCTGATTGTAATATAAACACGACCAGCCTTCAAAAAGGCTACCTCACTGTTGCACTACATAAATCTATTCATGATAACCTATCTTTTTTTAAACATTGGTACAAGCTTCATACATCATTTTAATTTAACTCTTCTTAGGATCAACAGAAAGAAGTATATCGACGATGTGTTAGTGCAGAGCCTCATCATGGTGAAGTTTGGTGTAAAATTAGCAAGGATCCGAAGAACTGGCGACTAAAAACGAAAGATCTTTGAAAATCGTAGCGGATACCGTTGTTTTACCAACTTAACTGTGCAACGAACATATTTTGTATCTCATATAAAAGGAAGGAAAAAAGCAGCCTATGTTGTATATCATATAAATAATAATATTTTAAATCAATCTTTTAATATTTATTTTGCAAACGATAATGTTGATTTTTAAAGTTAGACATGATGTTTATTTGAGTTAGAAGTTGATTAGTTATTCATCCAGGCTTCAACACATGTATAGAACGATGTCGTTCAGAAATGCATTGGAGGTAGTTTTTCACTCACTTGTTTTACTGCGAGACCATATTTAGAGTTAAACGTTCGATTTCTGTTTAAAGTGAGTTGAAATGACAATAATAACAAACTGAGTTTTAAGGAAGACATACTTACATTGAGAGTTATTGAGTAAACAACAACCGTAAACCACAAATGAACATAATTTTTCTTAGGTTTGATCTTCTTTTCTGTATCCTTAGTTTACGTATGATATATGCTAGATAATACGTGATTTATTTGATGGTTACTGTTCCTTGGACATGCTGTAAGCATAAAAGTTATGGTTACTGAAATGAGACCAACAATAAAAATATGGAAAGTCTTTCTTAATTCACACTTTACATGTGGTTTAATAAAGCTTGTTAAAGTTCTATGTGGATGTTATAGGATCAAAAATGTTATCTATTCTGGATCATTTTTCATATTATTACTTCCTGGCTATCAGAGCTTCATGCCAGGAAGTGACCACTTACTTTCTTCTTCCAACCAGTTCTAGTTAAATGTAATCAGTCTAAAAGCATGTGAGGAGGCAAATGTGAAACTCATCTAGACTACTAAAACCAGTGGTAAAAATGTTTTACTGATTAAAGTACCATGGTTCAATGGGGGTGAAACTGTGGGAGTAGAAGTAATCAAATTTAGATTTCTCTCATGTTCTCATTTTGTAATTACCAGATGTCACGTAGTTAAAGCCGCAATATACATACCAAGTGTTTTCAAATCAGAATTTCGACACTAGGAAAACAGGTATGGTGTCAGGCCTGATTCCTAAAAGAATTTATTCCTCATTTAGCACAGTGTAACTGCTGCATTACTATTGAGTTCCCAGGTTTGTTCATATGACTGTTCCAGTTATTCAGAATCCTTAAGCGATAAATACAGTTCCATTCGATACCAACAAGGCTCTGTTGTAAATACGTTTTTCATAATTCGGTCAGCACGTTGACAAATACTTCAACTTTTGACATAGTTAACAGTAATTTGATTGCGCCATTTCGGTTGCTGAGGAAACATCTGCTTGGATATATTATAGGGTCGTTTGATTTATACTAGCATACACACCGGCGATATATATTGATTACCTATCAAAAAACGAGTCTCCGTTTCGTCCTGTTGTACAGCTGTAAGACATGACTGTCGAAAGTAGTTGAAATGAAAAGACCGCAAGTCTTTGATTACGTGTTTTCGTAGCATTGTTCAAACGTGGTGGAGTCACTGTATGTACTGTAAAATGTTTTGGTCAGGCTTAGGGTACTAGGCAAGTCAGACTGACATAGTAGACATTCATCCACTTTCTAAATCAAAACGTGATTTCAGTTGGGGTAGAATTAGGTTAAAGAAAGCTGAAGGTACCCAAACTAAGTTCTCTCCATGAAACCTCTGAGTGTCGGTTTGAAATGTGTAGGTTACTTGGCTGCGATCCTCGAAATGTTAAGAATTAGTGGTTAGAGGAAACTCTTGATGCAGTGGGTCAAATTGCTCGCAATGGCCTTGATAATATATACTCTTATCATCTTCGAAATCTTGGGCATCTTCATTAGCCACCATCTATTAATTTTCTCTCTCTCATACACTTGCCATTCATTTTTCATCCTCCTATATGGTATGGTGACGTGAAGTGATACACTTCAATGCAATGTTTTTCTGATTTGTCTATCTTTCAACTTGCCATGAACTTAGTTTCTTTATGAACTCCTCATTTTAAGTGGTTCGGTGTTAAAATGTAAGCTGATTGAAACTAACTTTTTAAATACACTGAATGCAGTAAAAACAGTATCATTTACTGGATTACGTTTCGGAAATATTTTATTGTCCATAGTCACATCAAGATAAATAACTACACAACTCTGAGATATGGCTTACATTGTTCTGATTTTCTCGCCTTCTTTGTGATACGGGTAATAGGATTTTCTGTATATCCGAAACAGATACTGAGTCATTCCTGTTGTTCTTACTTGGTTTTGATTCGAAAAACAATTCCATCAGATAAGATAAAGGTAGCAATACAACGTATCAGTAAATTCTGTCTAAAAGGAGAAATCAATAGAATTGTCAAGACGTTGGAAAGCTTCCATAGCTATAGTGAAGAACTAAAATGTAAACTGGTGCAAACAGTGGAAAAGACTATGAACTCCTAGTAGACAACTTCAACAAAACGGGATCACCTGCCTTTAAAAAATACAAGAATACTCAAATAAGGAGTTCAACAAGCTTATGGAAGAAACGTATCCAGCAGAGAATAATGAGATCCTCAGTGGGTTGTCAATCTTTGAACTCAGCTAAGCAGAAGAAAAAATGCTACAGAAAGGCCTTAACTTCAATGTAGCGGTTAACGAATTAGAGTTAAGTTCAATAGATAAGACAATCGCAGATGAAGTAAGAGCATAGTATGAACTAACACTAAAATGACAGAAGAAAATGAAATTTAATTTACCCAAACCAAAAAGAGTAGCTCTCAGGAACCTTCAAAATGACAACAATATAGTAACTGCCAAATCGGATAAACGGAACTCAACAGTTGTGGTAAATAAATCTGATTACTTTCAGAAAGTCAAGGAACATATGCAAGCAGAACCGTACGAAGAAACTAAGAAATCAATGGCCACTATTATGAATAAGGTTAAGAAATCCACAAAGGATCTAACACACCGAAATGGTTGAATGTAAGTCGAAAACTAATAACCCCGTAAGATTTATGGTACAATTAAAATTCATAAACCAGATTATTCTATTAGACCCATAGTAGACTTTAGAGACACTCCTATTTATGACTTATCTAACTATTTAGTGATGGTACCATATCTAATTAGAAACCGTTCTAAATCCGAACTTTCTAACTCTTATGACTTGAAGCATAGATTAGATGACATACACTTAGACGACACTGAAAAATGGTTAGTTTTGATCTAGTTAGTTTGAATACCAATATACCGATAAGCATGGCTTTGGAAGCAGTTAAAAATCAGCTGAATAATGACCATGATCTTACATTATGAACTAAAGTACCAGTAGATGAGATCATGTTGGGAGTACAACTCACACAGTCTTTAAGTTTTAGAATAAAATATACAAACAATCAAGAGTTGCCACAGGATCATCAATGTCCCCTATTGTGGTAGTAATACTTATGGATAGTTGGGAAAGGATGGCTGAAGAAACATTTAGTTCGGCTGATATTAGTAACACAGGTGTTAATAGCAGTAATAACACTGATATTAGTGGTGAGAATACTACGAAAAGAGAATTTAAAACCTCTACATCATTACCATAAAAGAAGGCACCTCAGAGAACCCACGTAGAATTCTCAAAAAGGCTGGGGATAGAGTGGCATTTAAACCCATAAGCCCACTTAGAGATATTTTGTAGGTTAAAGGATTTAATTGATGCAATTAAGTAAAATGACTTAAATAAATCCCATGCAACGATTGCAAGGTCAAACACATAGGTCAAAGTAGTCTATCAGGGTCATTTAAGCTATCCTAGCACAGATACCTAGCTTGATCAAACTTGGTAGATCCTAGTAAGATAAGGAATTTAGAAAAAAGTTCGGACATACCTATGCATGTAATTGCACACAATCACACAATAGGAAGGGACAAGATGAAAATCCTTAACATAGTGGGGTAGAGAGAGAGATGGATAACTGAATCTATGTTTATCAAGTCGACACCTAATAAGGACAACAGGAATGGCTCAGTATCTGTTTCGGATATACAGAAAATCCTATTACCCGTATCACAAAGAAGGCGAGAAAATCAGAACAATGTAAGCCATACTTCAGAGTTGTGTAGTTATTTATCTTGATGTGACTATGGACAATAAAATATTTCCGAAACGTAATCCAGTAAACAATACTGTTCTACTGTCGTACAATCACATAAAAATGTAAACTTTTAGGCCTACATAGAGGCATAAACTCAGGATAATGTACAGAAAATAGGGAGAATAATGAATTAAGGAAGTAATCTACTTGACAGTATCAAAAAGAAAGGCTTGAAGACTGATATTTAGATTGGGAATATTCCATGACTTTTTCATCGAAATGGACATTAGACATATTGATTGGTCAGTGGTTAGGAACCAATTTCAAGCTGTCTAGTCCCAAGGACTGACCGAATTCTATAGATTACTTTGCGGTATGGCCACCAAACTAGGATGCTGACCACTGAAGTACACTTTGGTGGAGACTATTTGGCTGGAGGCAATCGAGGGATTTTCAGCACTCGTTAAGGTATATCTGCAACCTCGAAGGGGCTGATTTCCCACAGGAAGTCAGTCACGACCCAAATAGCTCAGTGATAACGTTGCTGATCGCAAAACTTTGACGCAGGTTCGAATGTCAGAGGGGAAATCAGTTCCATCAACTTTGTAGATACGCTTTGTTGACGAGTGTCAACAAGCACGAAATTTAGGTCCAGAGCTTCCTATCGATTGTCTCCAACCAACTAACGTAAATAAAAAAACACTGCATATCTCTGAATTGTCGGATAACAAATTCGAAAGTTTTCGTGATACTTCTCGAAATTCGACATACAAAGTGCTGGAAAAACTACCCAAATTCGTAAGGCAAAATTACTCTTCCGAAAAACTGCGAATTTGAGTTTTACTCCTCAGAAACCGCTATAACTTTGTAGCCCTTAATTGTGATAAGCATTTTATTGATCTACTTATTTCACTTTGAAATGGAGCGAACATGAATACTAACATTACGGATAAGACCTATTGTAGCTGAATTTAGTTTCTACGATTTGATGGTGACAACTATCAGTTAGAGTAACTTTCACGTGTGTAGCTTAATAACTGTGTTAGGATGTCAACAAGACTTACGGTAACCAGCAGAACTAGTTTCCGATTTGGTGATATTCTACTCTCCTCTTACAATTAGTAACTATTAGTTTAGATAATCGAGTAGTTTATTCAGCCAAATGTTAAGACACATAACGAGAAAAATTTCAAATTTGTGATTCGACAATTATGAGATATCCAGTGTTTTTTTATTTACGTTAGTTGGTTGGAGACAATCGGTAGGAAGCTCTGGACCTAAATTTCGTGCTTGTTGACACTCGTCAACAAAGCGTATCTACAAAGTTGATGGAACTGATTTCCCCTCTGACATTCGAACCTGCGTCAAAGTTTTGCGATCAGCAACGTTATCACTGAACTATTAGGCTTGCGATTGACCTCCTGCAGGATATAACTGAATAACAGTTATTTACCTAGGAATTTTTTACATTTTCATTTCAAACAGTATACTAAGTATTACAGATACGTCTTGAATATGCCTCCAACTCTATGAGCATTTGACTTTCAGGAAGGCATCCTCAGTTCAAATACCGCTCTGCCCACCTCGACAACCGAGAAGTGACATAAGCCTTCAAACAGCGTGCAGTTGACAGCCTAGTCAGTAAACGTGTGCCCAGCTGGAGTATTATTCATCATCATCATCATCATTATCAACATAGGACCAGGCATTACTGCGTAACGGTCCGAGTTGCCACACCTCATATCAGCACATCAAGTAAAAAGGTAGTGAGGTGAAGGATGAAGATAAGTGAATGCAGTCAAAGAAATATAAAGTATGAGAAGAAAGGAAAGAGGAGTGACAAAATAGTGAGATTCGGTATAGCGTTGTTAAGATGAGGATAATGTGTGTATACATCTGCGCCACTGACTTCGGTTCTCAGCCATATCACCTAGGGTCTCCAACCACTGGTTCCTCTTGTCCCGTGGACCCCAACCACCTAGACTGCATCGTCCTACATGGCTTAAACCAACAGTCAGAGACTTCATACATTGGTGCCATGTTTTAGTCTGGCCACCTCGGGCCTTTTTCCAGCCTGAACCCACCTCAGCCAACATTGTGTGACGAGGCAATCGGTGACTAGGCATACGTAGTACGTGTCCCAACCATCTCAGTCAATGAAGGTTCACAACCTCGTCGACTGACTTACCTCTTCTCCCTAAAACTCTACACCTAACTTCTGCATTACTCACATGGTGACACCACGGAATACGTCCTATACTACGAAGGCAACGGTGGTCAAATACCTGTAACCTTCTCATGTCTTCGACTTTCAATGGCCATGTTTCACAGCCATACAGTAGAACAGAGCGGACTGCTGTGCAGTACACGCGACCCTTAATAGACAAACGAGTATTATTATAACACTTCAATTCGCTCACTATTCTGAAACTATCCAACGAAGGAAATCTCCAGCGTGAGGAGAAGAAATGCTTCGCATTACTTTCTACAACACCTGGAATAGTGAAGGTTATGTACACACCGTTTTGAACTATTCCGATATAGAAATTGACTGCACTGTAAGACATTGAAACAACACTGAAGAGCTACCCCTTTTTTTGTAATTGAAGAAATAATCTTAAAATCCACCGAAATTTCATGCTACTTTATATTATTTCATGCTGTTATTTTAATGATGTTTTGTGACTGGCAGCTGTAACATGACTGTTATGCCTTTTTTGAAAGTGGTTACGATAAGCAATAGGTTACAGTTCAAGAGACAGATCAACGTAGCACCTAGCGTACCAATGAATCAGTCCAAACTGCCACTCTTCACAGCATCATGCAATGAAAAGATGGGTAGAAAGCGGACATAAAAGCAGACCAAAGCATCCGTTAGAATAGAAAAAAATGCATGAGGGTTGGTGAGAATATTTCAGACTTCCAAGATAACAAAGTGTTACTTCTACGCGGTTGTGGCTGATTTCCAGCCATATCTCCAAATACTGGTTAAGATCTCGAGGCTCTAACCAGTAAGCACACACCTTCCTAAGCTGCTCAGACCAACAGTCAGTGACTTTAAAGAATGGGATCACCTTCAGCAACAACGTAAAGATGTCGGAAGATAACTAGGTCAAGCAAATTAATGTGTGGTCTCAAACTAAATCAGTTTTCGCGGTGTCTTATAATAATTTTATTCTGCACCTTTCTGACAAAGATTGTGTGAAAGTTTGTACACTTTTACTAGAATTATTGACTACATACGTAGAAAGCCTCTTCCCGTCACCTAACATTACTTAGCAGATATCTTGGTTTGTCAAAGTTGGAAACGCAAACTAACGTCTCACTGATGACCAGTAAGTAGGCGAAAAACTGATAAACCACCTAGTTAAGAATTTTCTGATCACTACTTCGTAATCTAAAATCTTAAACATATACTAATTCATGCTAAAATAATTTCAGAAAACAATAAAATGTGCTTTCTCCGACTATTGTTATTTTTGTCAACTATCCAACGACTTCACGTCAATTTACACAGAATGCCAAGCAGCTCCAGGTTTTATTCCTTGCTTATTTGTTGGGGTGAATTCAGTCAATAGAATTCTGATCACTACCAGTACAATAACGTTGCTATGATCATAACTTTTAACATTGTGTCGTAGGAAACGTGGTGACTAAAGTGGAAACGCAACATTCTCAAGATATGTTGTCTTCAAATAATCTTAACAATACGTTTCGCGTTATATTCCTAAACAAGACGTCCACATACTTCTGAGAGCTCATATTCAGTAAAGATACATCGTATAAGAATGGACTACTGATCACAACTTTTCAATCCCGACTCTACTTACTGAGTTCCTACTATTGTCCGTTTTGTTTCTTTTGCTATACAGCCTACAGAGCAAAAGTAATACAAGGAGAAATTAATGATGTAGATTTTCCTACCTAGTGTTGGTCGACATTTAAATCCAGTAAATAGATGCATATATCTGCTTTGCTTAACAATAACGCTTTATATGCCCACAACTCATAGTTGTCATCTCAGCAAAACAAATCATATTATACGCAAAACATTTTAGATAAGACAAACACCTCCCGCTATCTGACACGCATAAAGACGAAGCGTATATGATACCGTACAATGTCTTCTTGATGCTAAGAAGGATGCAGATATATAACTTAACAAGCAGTATCGTCAAAGTATGACTAGTATGAGGAATGCCGTAATTAATTGGAACTAAAGAGAAATATGGGTTTGTACGCAGCTTAAAAAACTAGAATCAGATAAAACTTATGCTTGATCATGCATTAAACCGTTTACCATAAGCACACAGTAAACTGTTCGGTAGCTTCTTCTCACCCCAATGAATAAAGCATAAGCAACAAGATATGACTCAGTGTTTATTTCACAATTCGATGTGCATAATATTAATGTATACAATTCCATGCAGGTGGATTTTGTATATTTTGATAATAAATACACTTTCGAAACGAAGAAAGGCAAGTGAATATTTGTCCAGGTGAAACAAAAAACAAGATTCATTAGGAAATTATGCGACGCTTGATATGCTGGGTCCTAACTCCTTTTACCTCTGAAATGTAAGAAACAGCTAGTATGAATTCCAGAAGGGGACAGTTTTCACTCTAATGAAAATATACCAATTAGTCACCGACGGATAAGCCTTCCAGCTGCCTACTCCTTAGTGCTGATCCAAGTCTGTCGATTAAATTTACGATGTGGTCGCTAAGCTACATGATATGACACTGCTTTATAGTTCTCAATGTTTTCAGCTGACTGACATCAACATATAAGACCAACATACGAATGTGATTCAATGACATTTGACTGTGTAATTCAGAGCGAACATAATGTATCTCAAGATGATCTAGATAATAAGAGATACGAGTATAAGATACCAGAAAATAGTTGTCAGCGTTGTAAAACAATGGACAACTACTTTAAAGGGATTTTTGATCACACCTGTGGCAATGACGGTTGTAGACGAGTGATGCAAAACATGACATCATCTTGAAGAATATTTGAAACTGAGTTAATAAAAACGGTATATATATATATATATATATATATATATATATATATATATATATATATATATATATATATCCATAAGTATGAGACATCAGAGAGTAGTATCAGTTCTGCCTTCTGTAGACTAGTGACTAGAAAGTTATGTAAGACCTAATATTTGTAACAGAAACAAAATGATACGATACAAAGATATATTAATGGATTAGTCCTAATCGATTCGAATCCCAAGAAAGCCTACGCCCAATTATGAATGATAATTGCATATGCATTTTATGCAAGAAAGGTATGAAAATACAAAGCATAAGGCATGTCTGATAATGAGAATTTAGGAAATCGCATTTAGCCAACAATACTTCCAAGACAGCTTCTGTTTTTCAAGAACAACAGAGTACCACAACTCGGAATACAACTCAGTCTTCGGAAGTTAACTGCCGAAAAAATAGCGACATAAGAAAACATGTGATCTATTTACTTCATTGTACATAGATACCTTCTCAGGACATCGCTTTGCTTAGCAAAAAGGAGACAGGTATCGTACATTTTTGGAAAAATACAAACTAGTACAACATTATTTTATTATTGGGTTTAAGAAACCAGCTTTTAATTTATTAAACATTGTCGAGATAAAAGATAAAGAACTAATAAGAAGCTGCCTAGGGAAGTCAAAAACACTGCCTTTCTAAATAAGAAGAAGTTAAATGACACTGAAAGATAAGAAAAAAGAGAAATTCCTATCCTATTTAAAATGATCTTCATGTTTGCGATAATAACACAGCCATTCATTGTCAACAAATAAGATACATTAATGCATGATAAGAAAACAACAGTATTCATAAGATTGCTAGAGAAAAGAAAACATTTTGATCTAGACCTGAGAAATAAAGAAAAACTAAGAAATAAGAAGTCAACAACATCTGTAGCAATTGCTGCCATGGAAGTAAAAGTTATGCATTATATTACTATTTCATATTTACAGCACTGGATTTCGTTTTTATAAAATATAATTGAAAACTCCTACTTGAACGGAAGATATAAGTGAACAACCTAATTCAGTTAAAAACATATGTGCGTACATGAACAGATGAAGAAAGCATGCGTACATATATCAACTGTTATCCTTGTTCGGCATTTCAGCAGTCTGACTATGTACAAAGATAATAGGCGACCATATTCTTCGATCACTAGTTTTTCATTTTTCGTTTATACACTGGTCCACGCGAGGTCATATATCGTGTAACATTTGAACGTATATGCTCCTGAAGAGCCTGAGAAAATATAGGCGGTGATGTGATTGAGGAACGTTTCAACTCTTTTGATACAAATGAGTGAGTAAACTGTAGACAGAAAAGGGAAAATTCAATAAATCAAGGAAATGAAACAGTAGTTATTCAAACGGGAAGAAAGATTCTACAATGGGGAGTAATCAATTAGTTAGATATTGATACAGCAGAGCATTAAAGTGAGTGATGGATACAAGTTCGAGTTGATATTTTTGAGTCTGAATGTATGGTCATGCGTGCTGACAAACAACAAAATATGCTACACTTCCACCAATATATTTCGTCAAATTAAGAACAAACTTATAATGTGTTGTGTAATGTACATACAACCAAACAGGATACAGCGAAATGATAGTATAGATTTAGACCCAACATTTGACTGACTGATCGTAGAGTATAGTAATAACACAGACTACATCAATTAAGAGAAATGTTATTTTGCAGACCACCGATGATGACTAACACAAAAAGAAAATGTACTCAAACAAAGTAGCGGGAATCCGGTGCACTAAAACATCCCTTTAGTACCTAGATACATATTATCATACTGGGTGATGATTGAAGGTGAAATGAAAATTTGGACTGCAGTATGCCAAACCACGGCTATCTCAGGTAGTCAAAATGATTACATATTATCGTTGTTGGTGGGAAATAACTTTGTTTTTACTAAGTTGGTATACTGACAGTAGTAGATAAATAGTAGACTAGTCGTTAAATTCAACCTCGCCTGGTTAACTAGTTTACTAGTTACTAGCCGGTCCTAAGCCCGGGTAAAGAGGGAAGGTTGGGCATAGGGCTAGCAACCCTACCCCGTAAAACAAATCTAACCGCTAAAGAAACTTCAAAGCACAAACAAAATATAAAAAATGAAAACAAACTTATTCCCCGCTGGAATCGGAGAGGCGAAATGACGCCAGTTGGTGAAAGCCTTCGGGAAGCCAATTGGCCGATGTGTCTTCTCTCGATGAAAGCGAAAGTAAACGTGGGGACATGGAATGTCCGCACGATGTTTGAACCCAGTAAGGCAGCCCAGATTGCAAAGGAGATGAGAAGGTATAACATCGAAGTGCTTGGGATTTGCGAAAGCAGATGGAATGGGAGTGGACTCTCCAAACTGTCAACTGGAGAATCAATAATCTACTCCGGTCACCCAGACGCCAACCACGAGCACACTGAGGGAGTGGCTATCATGATGTCCTCAAGAGCATCGAAGGCTCTCATGCAGTGGGAACCAATCTCCTCCAGGATCATGACAGCAAGATTCAACTCAAAAGGAAGAAAGGTCACAATCATACAATGTTATGCACCTACAAATAATGCAGAGCAAGAGAAAAAGGAGGAATTCTACAGACAACTTCAATCAACACTGGACAAGACGTCAGTTGGCGATATCAAAATTCTAATGGGCGACATGAATGCCAAACTGGGAGGGGACAACACGGGAAGAGAACTAACCATGGGTCGAGAGGCGCTAGGTGAAATGAATGAGAATGGAGAATTGTTTGCAGAATTCTGTGCATTCAACGATTTGGTGATTGGAGGCAGTGTGTTCAGGCACAAGGATATCCACAAAGCGACATGGACTTCACCAGATGGACACACTAAAAATCAAATCGACTTTATCTCAATCTCAAGAAAATGGAGACGCAGTCTACTTAACACAAGGTCAAGAAGAGGAGCAGATGTAGGTTCAGACCACTATCTAGTGCAAGGAACCTTCCAAATCAAGTTAAAAGCCTTCAAGGAAGCTGGTGATAGACCTCAATTCAAGTACAACACTCGGAAACTGAAGGATGAAACTACAAAGGAGATCTTCAAAGCAGCCATCAAGACAAAATGGGAGACATCGAGGGACATCCCTGAAGAAACCTGTGTGGAAGAACACTGGAAGTCTTTGAAAGCTATGTGGAAAGAAACCTGCACAACAGTATTAGGAAGGAAGAAGAAAGAAGACAAGGAATGGATCTCGACGGATACCTGGAAGCTGATAGAGGAGAGGAGGATGGTGAAGCAGAAGATAAACCAGTGCAAGGATGCTCAACGACAAGAGGAACTGAGCACAATGTATAAAACACTGGACAAAGAAGTGAAGAAGAGTGCACGCAAAGACAAAAGACACTTCTACGAACACTGGCAAGTGAAGCAGAACAGGCTGCAGGTAAGAGAGACCTGACGACATTGTATCAAATAACCAGGTTGCTATCAGGGAAGAGACCAACACAGATGAAACCAATAAAAGATGAAGAAGGAAATTTAATTACAAAAGAAGAGAAACAGAGGAAACGATGGGCCGACCACTTCAAGAAGCTCTTGAATCGACCACCACCTGCACTTCGTCCAGAAATACCACCTGCAGCCGCTGAATTACAAGTGAACATAAATCCCCCAACGAAAATGGAAGTCCTGAACGCCATAAAGCTACTGAAATGCGGGAAAGCAGCAGGACCAGATGGAATACCGCCAGAAGCACTGAGAACAGATGCAGAGACAACAGCGGACATGCTCACACCACTATTGCAGAAGGTGTGGAGGGAAGAGAAGGTACCTGACGATTGGAAGAAGGGTTACCTTGTCAAACTGCCGAAGAAGGGAGACCTCAGTGCTTGCAAGAACTGGCGCGGAATCACTCTCCTGTCCACCCCAAGTAAAATATTAAGCCGCATCATCCTGGAGAGGCTTAAAGACGCACTGGATTCAAAACTGCGACCGGAACAGGCAGGCTTCAGGAAGTACAAATCATGTGCTGACCAAATTGCAACGCTTCGTATCATCATAGAACAGAGCATAGAATGGCAATCAGCTCTATACCTCAACTTCATCGACTTTGAGAAGGCCTTTGACAGCGTCGACCGAGAAGTAATTTGGAAACTGCTTCAATACTACGGAGTACCGCAAACCTTTATCCGCCTCATTCAACAACTATATGAAGATGCCACATGCCAAGTAATCCACAATGGGAAGCTCAGTGATGCCTTTGAAGTGAAGACAGGAGTGAAACAAGGTTGCCTACTATCCCCCATGATATTCCTTATTGTGGTGGACTGGATCATGCAGCAAACAGTAGGCAGCGAGAAGAGGGGGATACACTGGACGACGGAAAAGAACCTAGAAGACTTGGATTTCGCCGATGACTTATGCCTAATGTCACATAAACTTGAAGATCTGCAGGCAAAAACTAACAAGTTGACAGAAGAGGCAGCTAAGACGGGACTTCAGGTGAATATAGAGAAGACAGAAGTGATGAAGATACCGCACCACCACCATCAACAACAACAACAAACTCCAATCACCGTCAACGGGAGAAACTTGAAGGAAGTAACCTCCTTCACTTATCTAGGAAGCACTGTTTCAACTACAGGCGGGACGGACGAGGACGTCAAAGTCAGAATCGGAAAAGCAAGACAGGCGTTCATTAGCCTGAAACCAGTGTGGAGATCTTCTGCACTCAGCATGCGGAACAAGATACGGATTTTCAACACCAACGTCAAGTCAGTGCTCTTGTATGGCTCAGAGACTTGGCGCGTCACGAAAGGCATTTCCAATAAACTACAGACATTCATCAACAACTGCTTACGCTCGCTGCTGAAGATCAGATGGCCAGAAAAAATAAGCAACAAGGAACTCTGGGAACGAACCAACCAAGAACCTATCACGCAACAAATATGCAGGAAGAAGTGGAGATGGATTGGCCATGCACTGAGAAGGCCGACTGAGGACATCACGCGTCAGGCCCTTGAGTGGAATCCCCATGGGAAGCGACGAGTTGGACGTCCGAGGGTGACATGGAGGAGGTCATGCGAGGAGGAAATGAGAGCTTCTGGGCTGTCGTGGAACCAGGTTCAAAAGATCTCAGAGAACAGAGGTCACTGGAGGCGTGCTACTGAAGCCCTATGTTCCACTAGGAACCCAAGGGACTAATAATATAATAATAATAGTCGTTAAATTCACTGTCAAATCCAGAAAACAGTGACTGGCAAGACTTTTTAACATCAATTCAAGATTTACTACAAAGTCGTCAGCTGCTCGATGGCTACATAATGTAGCCTGGAAGTAAATAGATGATTCTCCAGCAAACTTGATTTTAAAAATGTCGCACGGAGCAATCCATGTCAGACAGAGACTTTTGACTCAGCATGGTAACATCCGATGGACCAATGCTTTGAATGGCTACACCATATACTATTTACATGCAGTGAGAATAATGAACGCTGGTGCGAAAAACTGAAGTGTTCAAAGTGAAAAGATAGGAACTTGACATCAAGGTTAGAAATTCAACTACCTATTTCATTGTTACTCCTTAATATTTCCTGATCTATTAAAATATTACTGTTATTTTATCTAGGACTTTAAAAGCCGTTAGTAGGGTAAATGCTATGCGTCTGGCTCAACCGATTAACACTGTGGGTGACAAATAAAATCCTACCGGGCAACGACTATTTACAGCAATTTAACTGAAACTGAGCACCCAATTTATTCACAGCTCTCTCTTTGTATCTCTTCAGGACGAAATTACATAAGACTGAATCAAATGATCAGTTAGGACAATAAAAAAAACTTTCAAGATGTGGAAATCTTTTTTCACTAACAACAATTTCTGAAACTGGCTAGCGTTACTGGTTCAAAACTTTAAGGCAACGCATACAACTGATGAAATGAAGCTAAACTTACTTTTTTTGTTACATGCAGAAAATCTTCACTCGAATCAATGCGACCAGTTAGGCAATTGGGCAATCGATACGGTTTAAGAAGACGCAGGATATAATTTCCAACCTAAAAAGAGAATACAGTTAAAGATGATGACATGGTTTCTCTCTCTCTCTCTCTCTCTCTCTCTCTCTATATATATATATATATATATATATATATATATATATATATATATATATATATATATAATGCCTGACCCATTGACTGAAAGAAAAGCGCTCGGGTCAATCAGCAACAGGTACACTTCGTTAGTCAAGAAACACTAAAGACTCTGGGAGTGTTTAAAAATTTCTTTTCACAAGAAAGTGCTACTTAGAATAATCCTACATATCCCAAGCCTCTGATAACAGAGACCTAAGGAGAGATGTAAGTCGATTTTCGATCAAGAAAATAATCAGAAGCATGGACAATATAAATTCCGAGCACAAACAAGTTTCGCCTTAAAACTAATATTTAATATGGAAGATAAATGAAGAAATGCTTGTGAGTTGTGGATAAGTTGAATGTTGCGGTTCAAAACAAAACATAAAATAGAATGCTTATGTACATTACTGACCTCGTGAGTAAATTGTCTTTTGATTTGTTCATATTCCTCTTCACTTGGAGAAGTTTTCTGATGAAAGAAATAAGTATACATAAAAGTTTGGAACACAACATACAATCTAGTCAAGTTATGAACCCCAAAACAATTAATTAATGAGACGACAAAATAATTAACAATTAATATTTACCTCTTGGTTTTTCTTCCCGTTTATTAGTGGTTTTTCCCATTGGACACTTTTAGTTTCCTTATTGTAGTAATATAACCGTCCATTTGAATCAGCAGCCGATTTCCAACCCGGGGGTAACGAATTCAAATCATTCGCAGAATATCGTTTTAATTCTTCACAGAGACGTGTAAACTTTAAAATAAATAATTATAAAATTATAGCACGAAAGTTTATCCACATCATGTCTTAAGTGACGAAATATAAATTTTCATCAGAAAAACGGCAAACTAATAGTGAAAATTATGTGAACACTCAGGTAACCAGAAGAAAGTAGGGAAAAATGAGGCGAGAACACAAAAGGTATATGGAGTCATTTGTAGATTTCATTTGAACAGATATCAGGTAAAAGAACATGCAAATATATGGCAGCTGAATCGTTATAAACTATCCGAGTAATGCATTTCAAATTTTTAACGGAAAGACTAAGTGGGTTTATGAATAGAAATGTCAGTTTGAAAATAACTCAAGGAAACAACTGGAAATCTCTTTCTTTTACGCTTATATATTTTTGAGACGGCCTGGAAAGAGGATATGATTTAAAGATTGGCTATCTAAAGATACCGGTAATCTTATCCGGTGTAAAACTGCAACAGTATCATCAATAGATTCGTCGTTCTATAGTATAGTCCTGTTCAAAGCTTAACAGTTGTTTGTGTTCATTCAGAGCGTATATTTAACATTATCTATAGGTCGCTATAAGAATGCTTTTACCATTAGAATTTCTCAAAAACTTTCCAGCTTGTCATTTCCAGTGTTTTCTCTGGTCCTCGATAGGAATGAATGGATAAAGCCCTAATTATTGCTTACAGAAATCCAATTTTGAAAATTCCCCAAACTGTCCTCCTTATATATTCTGTCTGAAAATGGATCGTCATTGCAAATAATCATGCCCCTTAGAAGTTCGAAGACACTGATATTGCTACTAGAGTAAAGATTGTTGAAGGCCGAAATCAATGAAGCTACCATTCATATATCCTTAGTAGATAGAAAGCTTACCAATTGTTATTGGAAACTGTACCATAAATCCAGTAATTAATAACCACAGTAGGTTCTTTTTACAAGGGATCTTATTGGAGCACGACCCATCTATCCGCAAATTTTACCATTAAATATGAGGAGGATACGTGTAAATCGATCTAAGGAGAATGTCTAGAGCGACATTGCGGGATACCATAGTCTACATCATAGGAACGAGATAATAAATGCTTAGTGAAACACGTATGAAGATAAAGTCTTGCAGCTTCATTCATAAAACCAAACTGATACAACTAATAAAATCGAAAAAATTTAGAACGGTAAGGGAAAGAAACATCAGAATAAAACTCACCAAATCTGAATCCTTCGAACTTGAGAGTAAACTTAGCATACAAGGCAAAGCCTTTAACAAAGCAGCTACAACGGGCATACTTTTCAGCTTTTCTGTTGTGTCAGATAAAAGGTTCGATAAGGCAGTTTTCCCAGGACCACATTCACTCAAAAGTGCACACAGTAGAAGCTAAAAATTATTTTGTAACAACAAACATTAAAATTCAAACATAAAAGAACGACCAGCTAAATTATTGTTATAATTAGCACTCATTTCATCGATTACTGTTGACTGAAGTATGCAGTTCACAGTTATTGAATGCGCTAAGCGGTGTTTCTGAAATTGGTAGTCATTGAACAACAGAACTTCAGGGTCGAATTCCTAACGAAAATGGAAAATGACGATGTTATTACCAAACTTGTAACAACTGTTCATTTCTCACCTTAACACTACAACATAATTAGGCAACCTAAACATCTGACATAAAGTTTCATTGGTACAAATTATAACGAAATACATCCAAATATGTTGCTTGATACCCTCAAATTATAAAAATTCCCGAAAAGACGCGATGGTACTCGAGATATTGTTGTTACAACAGCAATGGGTTATTACTTATGACTTCATTCTACGTATTTTATTACGTCAGAAAGCGTTTGCAAAGACAGAAATTAGGAAATAATATCTAAAAAACGAATTTAAGAATTACCTGACGAAGATGATCTACGTCTTTTTCATCACTAAGAGGTTGTGGTTGACCAGAATCATCTAACATTTCCACACAGTTTTCAGTTGTGCACTGCTTTTCATTAGCTTTAACTTGAGCTTCGAAAAGCATACGCCTCTCGGCTTTGGACAAAATTGAGGCGCTGTTCGAAGGCTTTGGACATATTTGATCCCGAACAGTTGTGAGTTTATCACGCAAACTAAACAATAACATAGGAAATAGTCTTACTTTCGAAGATGCAGTAGGTATAGGAAATTAAATCTAAAGCATGTAGATCGGTATACATAGCAAAACCACGAAGAGGATTGCGGTATGAATCGAAGAATGCAACTCAGTAAATATATGTAGATTCACCTCCCAGCAGATGCTGTTTACGTTCCTAAAGCTATATTGTCAGAATAGCCCGGATCTTGTGAACTAACAAATTAAGTACGAGAACAATTTAAACTAAAATATGAATCAGTTAGGGAAAGCAGTTACTGATCTGAAGTAAGCGAATACAGTGCGGTGATGACTGGAAGAGAAAGCTCAGAAGTAACTGAGTATAAGACGCTATTTATTGATGGCTTGAACGTGTAGGTATTTTCTACATTGGAAATTAACTGACAACCGTATTCCATTCGGTAAAAGTTTTATATGGATTAGGAAGAATAAACAAACCACTGACTTCAGTTAGCAAGAGGGAAGGCAAACAGTTGACGTCAATTATTTCTCACAATTTAGTTTAGCATTAACTTCCAAAACAAATGGATAAATTCCGACTTAACCGGACACAACAACTTGTTTACAGACGTAGGTATGCTAATTTGGCATAGGATTTCGTTAGAGATGATTGGCGAGGACATTTTAGTCTGTTTATTAGAAATGTCACACAGCAAAACAATATTGTTTATTGAATAACGTTTCCGACATAATTTATTGTCTATGTTCATATCATGCAACTCCACAACCTTGAGACAGCTTTTTTTACAGTCCTAATCTCTCCTTTTTTGTGACAAGGGTAGTAACATCTTCCATACATCTGAGACCGGTGCAGAATCATTTCAATTGTATGTATTCGATGCTTATTCGATTTGGTTATCAACCAATCAATCCCTCCACCCAACTAAATTAGTATTCAATACTGTCACCTTATCCCACCCTACTGTGTGAGACTATGTGTAACATATATATATATATATATATATATATTATATATTAGTAGAATTATTATTAGTAACAACTGTGTTACTGCTACTGCTCACTTTTCTCGATTTCTTATGAATTTATTTATAAACTCAAGTGAGCAATTATCGAGATGCAAGGTATTCTTGAAGTGTCTTATCCGTTGTCGTAGGTTTTCCGTCCCACTAGTAAGCTTTTTTGCCCTATAACTTAGGCACTTAACAAAGCCTATTTTAACTGATATGAGGTGAGATGATTTGAAGCCTAAGTACTGGTTTGAATGGCAAGGTTTTCTTTAGACAATAGTCTCTTTACCTCCATTTTGTTTTCGTTTAATCTTGCAATCCAACATCCATTAAGGTTAGGAAATCCACAGAGGATCAGATACGCCGAATGAAGCTGTTTCTAGGTGATGCCGAAAACTAATAACCTCAGTAGAATTTATGGTATAATTAAAATTCATAAGCCAGATTATTCTACTAGACCCTTAGTAGACCTTAGAAAAACTCTCACGACTCATCTAAACGCTTAGCGTGGTACTAGGTCCAATTAGAATCATTTCTAATAAACGGACTAGAATGGAATTACAATCTACCACTGACCAAGTTTGACTCCTATATCGATGAAGATAAATTGCGATGAGACAAATGCATTCACCTTTAATCTTATTCATAAAAGCTTATCGTTAAAATATCAATAGTGCTCCTTTCTATTTCAATAATTCCCTCAGCTTGACGGCTTAATGCTTTGACGCCACATTCAAATAGTTTTAAGATTATTTATTAGTGGGGTAAAGTCGCGCTAAGGTTTTATCAGCCTAAACATGAATTCTGAGGCTCAAAAGCCTCTCTGTGTACGGTTAAGAGAAGAATATCGTACTAGTATATGACAAAAAACTGACTAAATATGAATCGCGATACCATGGTTATCATCACTCAATGTCGCATTCGGTCTAGTAACGTCATATTTTTTTTCAAAAACACGGAAAGACAAAAATGGATTAACAGTTAGTCAGTTGTATCAATATGCGACCTCACATTACTGTGCAGAGGCTTGAGTAGCCACATCTCGCACTACAAAGCAACAAACAAGACAAAGAAAGGAAAATAAAGTAAAAAAAGGTAGGAAGCTGTGACTGAACGGAACACACTAAAATAAGCGACGAGATGTGAGAAGGCTTAAACGAAGTAATGCAATGCAAGGACAAAGGTATTTTATTAGGCATATGATTGGAGCCAGCGATGCGGTAAAATAAAGGAATGAAGAGGCCATATGCGTAAGTCAGTGGTTGGAGTTTGTTCAGACTAACTAGAGGCATTGATAAATAAGACTGACAGTGAGAAATGGATTAGCAACACACCCAGAAAATGCAACGGGAACACTATTCCCAGTTAAGCATATTGCCTGTCAACCATCTGTCTTGACTGCACACCAGTTAATAGTCACCCGTGTGATGTTCTCCTGAACGTATCTCAAGGATCTAGAAACAGCATACATAGTTCTGTATGCGAAGATGACAAAAGTCTGCACCATGCATCCCACTAGCTAAAAGTTTTGAATATAATTGATACTAACATTGGGCATACTATACAGGGCGAGAATAATGGCAAGTTCTGTTTTCTTGACGCTGCCACACAACAAAGGATGAATGGTTCTCTGCAAAGATCTATCTCATCGAAAGAGTATGTGGAGTGAGCTGTATATGAATTTCAAGTTTTAATCCAGTCAGTTACAAATGAGCAATAGTTATAACAGTTTTACAAGTTGAAAATGATACTAAACACAATGTTTAGTGCATTCTGCCTCACTTTAACTTCCCTCCTTTTGCATTGTTCTAATTGTTAAAAATTATTGGACGTGATTACTTCACTTAGGTAATTGTTGCTCTTATTGTTCTTCCAATGATGTGCTGTATGGAAATACAAACTGATGGATAACTAAATCAATTTTAATATTGTCTATCTGTTTGGTTATTAGAGTCAAAGGCAAACGAATACTAGTGGAGTTCATTCGTTAGAGTTAGATAGTGACGGGCGGTGGAAAAATGAACGTTTGTTTCTTTCCGGGGATTGAGTTAGTCTGTACTGAATAAGTTCGGGTTTCTGATAAGATTAGTGGCCATTCCAAGATCGCGGAATAGATAAACAATTAAGTCTTGTTGCATCTACCTAAAACTTATGAATGAATATTCAAACCAAGGACAACTGAGATATACAGATGCAAAATAACATGTGAACACGAAGTACTTAACTTACACTTTGTTTGACTGGAATCTACTACCGTTATCCTGAGTCCACGATTTACTGGAAATTGACTGATCATCTATTGAAAACAACAAGAAAAGCGTATCATCTAAAGAGAATGGGTTTTTTCTAAATACTAAATCACTGAAACTGAATAGACTCGGAAAATAATGTAAATGAAGGCTACAAACACGCCGTACTGTGTTGAGCCAGATACACAACAAATGTTGCTTCCCGTAGGACTTGAGCGGTGTAATATATAAATCTCGCTATGGCCATAGGTAATAGACTATGCTCGTAAAGTTGCCCAGTAAATGATACTTTTATTGTGCGACATATCACAGAAAATGTCAAAATTTAAATAATTCTAAAAAAAAGTATTAAAACTTCGAGTTACAGCATTTCAAGACAAAAACTGCTAACCTTTGTATTCTGATCCCCAAGATATAAGAGTAGAACCGATTGGATACGATATATGAAGCATTTTCTCGGTTTCTTGACGCTCCAGTCGAGGTATTCGGTAGTTTTCCTTCTACAATAACCAAGTATAAGCTCATCGTTTTAGTAAAAGAACTATTGATGGATAAAAGATCTGAAATCCAGATGATAATCCATCAAAAAACACAACAATAATCATGATAAAAGAATCACGGGTTTTAAACAAATGAAGTCGAAGGATTTCACAGAATACCACAAACTTACCGGTAATTTCGACCATTTCTCAAGTAAATCACATGCCAACGTTTTGATTTCTTCTATCCATTCATTATCTGTTTTACCCTCACACAATTCAGTAGCCACATTTAATTCATTATTATCTGACGTGCAAACACTTTCGATTTCGCCAGCGTCATTATCAACAAGAGTTTCAGGAGATATATCACAATCCGAAGTGTCGATGTGCATGTTGAAATTACAGTGTTCTTCTTGTGTGTAATCCGGAAGCATCGAAACCTCTGATATATACGATGGGTTCTCCTTCACAAAGGAATTAAAGGAATCAGGACTTGAGGGTAGCGGCCCAAAATCACTATTTTGTCACCTGTTTGTACGGAACATGATTCGTTGTCTTTTGTACTTTTTGAGGCTAACAGAAAAGAAATAAGTTGACATTTCAGAGTGAAATTTCAGCATGGATTCACACAATTGTAAGCCACATGGAAAAATAAGATATCAAAAAGCTTTTTCCAAAGACCTTTTGGGGATCCACCGATCGCACGTTGAGTAAACGAAAAGAAAATTCTTTCTAATCGTCCTAAAAATTGAGCAACTACAACGACAGAAAGACTGAAGTTCATTTAATTGCTTTTAATATGCATTTCAAAATAAGACAGACGTGAAAGGCATTAGGTATTTTAATTAAGTTTCTTGTATTCATGAGAGATAAAGAACCTTTGATTACAAGATTTGCGTTGCTCGTAAATATATGTCAAACATATGCGTATTGTTTAACGGATAGAATTAAGGCTCTCACTTGAAATATTAAATCAAAACTTTTTACATTTATGGTCTCTCATCAGTTAAACAAAAGTAGTTTATCAGGATGGTCAACTGAAGTATTTCATACTATAGGAGATACGCTGCAATTCTTTGAATGTCCTTGAAAATTTCGTTGAAGTGTAAACGCAGCGAAAAGAAATGAATTTCGACGCATTAGTACATTTACAACACTGTTAACATATTATTTGATTATTTCATTTGTGGTAAATAAGTCACAGTCTCCAAAATAGAAAAGGTTACTCAACAAAATTCTGATGCCCAGGTCACTGAGTTGCTCAAGTTGAACATTAAATAATTATTACAGGAATAGTGCCAGATTTATTCCGATGAGTAAAATAGTACTGCATGCTTGGCAGTGGAAAATTAGGTTCATTAAATAAACCGATTCAAATATGTAAGGAACTGTTAATTAGTCATACCTGATTTTGTCTCGTCGGAATCGAAATTCAAATCAACAGGAAGTTCCTCAGCTGACAGTCTAACAAGTGCAACACTTGGAGAGTCTAAACACAAAAGTCTATTTATTGAATCATCTTTACCTGTTGTAACAGCACCAGCACTTTTCCATGGCTCGGGAGGAATAACACGTGGCCGACAGTGCTGAGGGTTAGAAGTCCACTGTGAAACTATTTCCATGAGGCCTGAATTTGACTGTACTTGCTTTTGCTCAGAAACAGGGATATGATTCAAGCAGATCAATATCTAGGAAGGAATGTTCAAAATTAATCGATTGCATAGTCCGGTTCACAGCAGAAATACAAGAAGTTCAACACTAATAAAACTCCTAATATACCTTGGTTAAATGGCAATAAAAATGTGAACATAAAAACAAAAACAACTAAGTTAATATATGTTGAGTAAAAAGGCACAAATATCACATAAGACGAAAATAGCTTAATGAGAGCGTTTTACTTATTCAGCACGAAGAAACAGTATTTCTACACTTACTTGCTTTTTAAGCTGCCAGTCTTTTGGTGCTGCATCATACATGAAGGCGGCTAACATATCAAGGCCATTGTATTGTCGAAAGAGCTTGAGACAAGCATCGTGCTCCGTCTTGATGAGACGACTGAGGAGTTCTAGTCGGGTATACCTGGTAAGACATTCTTGAACCATTACTTGTAATAACAGAGTTATATCTTCGGCATGTCTGAAGGAATCTAACTGAAGCAGCTGTAGAATACGTCTCTCAACCTGAAAGCAAGGTAAGCACAGACAGAGTTCTTTAACTATACATGTTGTACATAATGGGTATACTGCATATCAAAAATATAACTTGAATAAACTGTGTCTTTCCATGTGAATAAACTAACCAAGTTGTTATTTCATTTAAAACCTTGAGACTGTTTATTTTTATTCTGGCATGTGACTTTTGGTGACCAGCAAGTAGACTTACTGAAATTGGAGAGTAGACAATATATTCTCTACATGACGCAGCCGTAACTTGGATACTCCACAGGTTCGAAATGAACCAGAAAAAATAAGGTGTGGGCGTTTATTTCTACACAATAAGTTTATATAACAGACTAGTGTGAAGATTTGCACATGACTGTTAAAATACATTCATCTTATTCACTATTTACTCCAAACAGCATTTGTTGACTACTTACTTTTCCAATAAAAGAAATTAAAGCATTTCCTCGGGTCCGTAACTAAAATATCTTGTGTGGCTGACTAAGGAACATTAATAATGTTGCTCAAGGTTATCAGATTATTCGTAGAATTTAAAGCGTCTTCAAACACATTTTACACGATTATTTGAGCACAAACAAAAAGTAATCCAGCATATGAAAATTCACTACTCAATAACTGAATCCATAATACCAACTTAAATCTTTAGATGTCACTACGGAATACACTGAAGTCATCAATACATGAAATAGTGCCTCAGATTTCATGAACGCAGATTGATGGGTTTCCATACTACACATTAGTAAAATCCCCACAAGCATGCACTGATACTGCTTTTCATATGCAGGGATAAATTATAGAAAACTATTAAGTTTAGGCCAAGTGCAAGTTTGCTTATTGGTTCAGTTAAGATAAGTGTCAGTTGATGAGCATAAAGGCGAACACATCTTATCGAGGCATTTCAAAAAACTATCGAAGAAACTGTCACAAGGGTAAGTATAAATAGACCACCTTACATGTTACTTCTGGGAGGCGGGTACATCCAGCTAGCGAGACCTAAGTAGGACGAAACGCGTCATGGATTTCACTGCTAGCCACTACCCATCACTAACATATCACCTTACAGTTGACTCGTATCAGACAAATAGAAAAATCGATGTAGGATCGTGTACGGAAGTGTACAATTTTAAGCTACTACAGTACGCAGAGGTAAGTGGATAAGAAAAGAATGATATTTTAACACATAAAATGTACGAGATAGATAAACGAAAGTTAGTAAACTGTTCAAAATGTCTGAGGTAGCTGATTTCAAAACATATTAGCATCGGTCTTTATCATCTCAAGGATGCCCGATACGTAGCTCATAACTTCTTACATGACTCAAGACAGCAGTTCATAGACTGCCATTAAGTCTCGACCCTAACACCCTCAACTTTCCTCTAACTAAATCCCGCTTCATTTAATATCACGCATCAAAGTAGATGATGATCAAGTATGTTTAAAACATATCCGCCCTATCGTAGCCATTAAACATTCACAGTCTTATACACTAGCCAGTCTAGTACTCTACATCAAAGCTCAACATTGCTGACCAGGTAGTTTTATCATACACGTAAAAATCGTGACTCACCACGTGTCTATGTGGTAGGCCCTTTTTATTGTGAGAGGGTTTATGATACTACTCGAAGTGGAGCAAGATTTGAATCCATGATGCATTGCATGATAGTCTAACACCTAAGTCAAATGACTACAGCTACATACCACACACAAGTAATGCTATAAAGAAACTCATGATGAAAACGTAGGCACGCGTTAAACGTAGTAATGTCGATAGCAACTTCACGCTATATAATGATCAAGACAGTAGCAAGGAAACATTAGTTAGTCGTTCATGACATTAATTTTTACTGAGATTACTTAGCCTTATTTATTTAACAGATGAACAAAGCAACTATGCTAGGATACCAGTGTGAGATAAGTGTGATAGCAAATACAAATGGAGAAATGTTGCTGCTGTATTTCTGCAAGACTATAACTCATATCGATCACAGACCAACAGAGGAAATAAGGTTTTATTGGTCCACTTTAGTATGAATTGTGTTGTTACTTCATATGATAGTAAAAGACTAAACAATAAACTACTCAAACTGATTGATGCGACGAAAAAATCATCTTTTTGGATTTAAAAACATCCACCATGCTAAAATGCTTCGTAACAAGTGAAACGGATATGTGAATTCTAGTTTTCATGAAACACTCACCTAGACATACCACCATGAAGACTTCATTCCTCTTACCCAGTGGGATTTTTCACAAGTTGAGTCAAGCATTCAGTAGAATGCGTGGAATAAGTTGACGAGAAAAATGTCTTGTCTAACGGGAAGTCTTTGTATAACAATTGAAAAGTTTTGATTTGTGATAAGGTGGTCATAGAAACTTCTGCATCTTAATGAACTATAGTCTGGGCACAAACTAGGTTACTAGAGGGAGAACATGAGAATCACAGTAACCCTTCGAAAAAGATTTCTGAATGCACTGTTGATATCGTAAAATATTTGGCTTACGAAGTGCTTTATGTCACGAAGTTATAGTGAAGAGTATCACGATGAAGTTATGTTGCTAGGTTTACGGTGTGACAGCAGTAAGATGTTTCTCATATATGACTAGTAGGACAAGTCGATAGTGCTTTCCCCTATGCGAAGAATGAGTTAGAAAGGATCGGTCGCAAAAGTAGCACATTCTCCAATGCCCCGTACATAGTTCAATTATGATGTGTTGCGTTCGTGAAACATACAGGATTCAATTGGGATCATTCACCGAAATTCACTAGGCCAATGGGTGAATCCTTTAGAAACATAAATTGCGTTGTAGTAACCACAGAAAGAACAGCTCAGCAAATGGTCTAGGTTTCATAATCGAAAAGACGCCCGAATGCAGCTTTTAAACAGAAAACTCGAAAAACCAAGTAGGTTTCACACCTAGTCGTGTGTGTATCAACCAGATTTTCACTCTCGACCAAATGCCGGAACACAGAAACAATTATCAGTGCTTGACTCTAGCTAAAACTCTTCACTTGAAGGCATCATTCGACATTAACTGACAGTTCTTATGGTTGGCGTATCCACTGAGTACATCACACCGGTGAGGGCTTTAAACACGAGGACTTATGGGTGATAGAACCTATACTGAGGTATCAGGTGGATGATACAGGTAGAATGATGTTTCTCAAAATTGCCACTTTTTCCACTTTTGTTTCACTTTATCATGGTTGTATTTATAGAGCTATTCTTCCTTATCTGGTTGTAAGAATCGTTGCACTAGACTACAAAAGTGAGTTTGGAGCACACAATATATCCTTTTGGAGTGAGACACTGATATGATGGGGTTTTCCGGAAGTTTTTCATCACCAAGATGTAAATTGTTTTACAACTAGTTCGTGTTAATAATTCGTTCGACAACAGCCAGAATAACGGTTGATCGTAGTGACCGTTTACTTGGAAAGCTAGATCGAGTCCGATGAGCAAGTGACCGACGAAATCCCAGCACGGATTTAAAGGGTCCAGTTGGTTTATACCAATTATGGCACTGGTGAAATATCGGATTGCCTACGAAGGTTCAAGTGCACTATGGAGCAATGTCTTATTTCGTTGTGAAACATTCTCATTAAGTGTAGTGTTTATCGTATGTCGTAAAACAACAAACTAAGCAGATGTTAGGTGTAGCGTCTCAGGTATGCCAGTTGATGGGTGAATAATCTGCATTGACTCAGGTGTCCGTGACAATTATATATATGCCTAGTCATAGTCTATATCGATGGATGACGTCAGCTAGAGTAAGATTGTATTCGAAAAAGTAAAATGTGTCCAGACTAAAACGTGGCGTCAGTCCACATCCCTGACGGCTTACTTCAGGCATATAGGGAAACTCAGGCTTCCAGAATGACGTTTGCATGACAACCGAAATCGATGGTTAGAAACACTGAAGTCCAAGGAACAGAACAGCATACATACATACTTTCAGTTATAGCAATGGTGAGTCGCTGGAAACAGTGAGAATTTTGTACATCCAACTCGCACGAACAAAATAGAATATAAGGTATTGGTACGTCAATCCAACATAAGGAGCTTTCACAATAAACAGGTAATAGGCAAAACTGAAGCTTTTATGCTGAAGCAACACAGGAACAAAACGATAATCGACATTATTAAAAGACAGTGGATACACCTATACTGCGAGAACTGGTTACGACATAAGACAACTTAAGACTAAAGAACTGAACTTGTAACATTCCAGAAACCTAGCTGGCTCGAGATTTGTCACTCAGCCAACATTATTATCAAAAATATTAAACTTGTAAGTAATGACATACCGAAAATGTCCAGGAAATACAATACAGGAAGAAAAATAGAGTTATTAGGTGTCAAATACAACAAAAATATCAAAAACCCGTGCTCATAATTGACTACGTCATAAGTGTGACATACCATGGCTGTATCCTTCATGCGAACCTTTTCTTGTAAGTATTTGCTAGTTGCACCCATTATACCTGAGCAGGCTGCAGTACCACAATAACACTTCTGTTCAGAAACCCTATTAAGAAACAAACGTGAGAAATCTTAAAAATACCAGTATATCAGATGATGACGTATACAGTCAATTAGTTAAAGAACTTCCTAGAATTACAAATCACAGTGCAGGTGGCTGCTTAAAGGAAATAAAAATACCCAGTCGATCAATTCCAAAACAAGATGTGAAAAAATATACCAACATCTAGCTGTAGATCTGAGGTGGTATATAAACCGGTCTACTCACATTTACTTTGTCTTTATATGGTGAGATTAAAAATTAACATTTTAGAATAGTGGTCGGAAAATTCAAAAATGTTAGCATCCATACGAGCATGATTTATCAATGCGAATAATTTGGCTTCAGATATTATTTTTCATTTTTCCTCACTTACATTAGTTGTCTACCTGATCCCAAGTTGCTGATATTCTTTTTAACCAACTTTGACTTCAGTATATTTGATGGTGGTATGGGCGTATTTATTCTAACTACGCTCAGTTGCAACTTACATACTTTCAAGGACAACACTATATATAGATATCCTGAAAGATGTCCTGCTGTTATAGTTTACCCAAGACAAATTATACTGAAAAAAACTACCTGTCAACTGCGTTTATCGCGTTTTAGTGAAAATCGGAAGTGTTAATTAGTACAGGTATTCCGAATAAAAAACCGAAACTTTGAAGTAAATCACATGGACTCAACTTTTAACCACCGTATGGAAGGTTATAACTCGCGTTGTCCCCATCACAGTTTGAAGAACTAAATAATACTGCTATCACTCAAGAATGGTTACTGAGTCACATTTCCTTTAAGATGGGTCTAGATTTGTCTGTTGCTTTATTGGGACCGTAACTATTCCAGGTTACATATTAACTATTGATATAACAGTGCAAGCGATGATATATTTCAGTGTATTAGGACTTCTCTACAAGGGTTAAACAGCGCTTTACGCCATATTTTATAATTTTTACCAAAATGCACCGTGAGAAAGTCATGCTAGAAAACCAAACTCAAAACCATAAGGTTGGACAAGACATACCCATACTGAACGAACTGGTAATCGATAGTTACTTCTTGACCAGCAGGAATATCTTCTTTGGCAAAAAAGCCAATACGGATTTCCCCATCCACACTCCACTGAAAATGAAGATTAGTGTAAAAATCAAATATAGCTTGGAAAATTGGAAATAGTACGAGTGAACTGTTTTGCTGCAATGGCATATTTAATTTACGATAACCCGGAGAACTAATAGAAGACTATTTGCCGGAAAAGTACCAACTCACGTACGCCTAATTTCATAGTAATGTACGTTAACTTATGGTGAATAACCCAGTGAACAATACTGAAGTCAAATACGAAATTCCATATAAGTCATTCGATGAAACCGTATACTCCTCGGAGTAACAAACGTTTCTCGAATGCACGGTTATCGGCTAACACAAAGTAATATAGTGATTAAAATATGACTAGAAAGGACGTTACTTGTTATCGACCTACTATGTGTGGATGTTACGTGAAGTTACTGTGTTTTTTTTAATATACTGCTCAAAATAAAGAAACAGAAGTCAGTCGAATCGGTCTATTAATTTCGCCTAGCCGATATTAACATAGGGCCTATGTAACGGTTTACGTCGCTAATCGGAGGATTAGAACTAAGTAAACACAAAATGTGTAGTTTTTTTCAAGCTAAGCTGACAAGCAGTGTGTACGAACGAACTTATCCCATAAAGAAGTATCCAGAATATCGGAATATCGTCAAGTGACTTGGACGTGTTGGTAAAACAGACTATGTCTATAAACTAATTGCCAAGTGTACGGTACTTACTGACAATTCTAATAGCTGAGTAGTTTCTGAATTTTAGTTTAAACAGGGGTCTTATTGGGAACCATTCATTTTGTGATCTGATACACAAAATGGCGAGGCTAGTGGTTTTGGATGAGCGGTTTTCAACGGAAAGTCGGCTGGTACAGCAACTGTAAACAGTACCGACGCGGGACGCAGTTTGCGAACTGGTCATTTATCTGAATGACTTTTGGGAAGAGCTGAGCAAGCTTCAAACAAGCGGTGTTAGAAATCAGTGATAGAAAAGTCTATTTCACATGGTTTGAAGACTGTTACTGAAGTGTAGATATGTTCAGATTTCATCTTCCTCAAATTCATGATAATTTCACCATTCATCTTTTTGTACAGAATCCGTTTACATTTCTCTTACTTATTTTAATGTACTCCGAACTCTGTTGTTCCTTAACACCACTGTTGATAAAAGAGATAAATACAGCTTTTCACGAAATTGTATGCTTTTCAACCAAATCGAGCTTAAGACCTGGCAGTCTTGAAGGTTACTGTCCATCGGTTGCGAAAGCACACAAATCCCAAAAATTATACACAAGATGAATGGTTATTTACCTTCTGTGTAACACAGTTTGGCTCGCATGAATGGTTGACAAATCTTGCCCAATTGCCTTTACTACCAGCATCAATAAATCTATCTGATTCCACAGCCATAAAGTAGTGATGAGCATGACCCAGACGTTCATATCGCCGAATACGACGACGGAACTCAGAAAAGTCGATCACTTCCCCCACATATTCGACTATAAAAGACCCTCTACAAATAAAATATTCCAATATTATATTGTACAAACCTACCGTTCAACGTTGTCCGTAGTCATCAGCCCCCAACCTTTATCTTTACCTGCGTAAAAGGGTTTGGTTGGTGCATAAAGTCGCATTTGGAACTGACGGTTACTGCAGAAATCACCAGCTGCACACTGTGGTCCACACTCGATATTTAAAGCACGATTAATGCAGCCTGGACCGCAAGCAAGTATGCCCAGATCAAGTTCTTCTGCAGTAGGGGCGCTGCAATCACAAACCCACTGTCTCATTTCAAAGTGCAGTGAACTAGCACGTAATCCAGAAGTCCCAAGAAGCTTCCCACTTCCTGCACAATTTGGTTTGTTCATAGAGGATGAATGAAGTGAATTCAAGAGACTGTAGTCGTTGTTCAACAGGTGAGTGTATTGTGGAGTAGGTGCTTCAGGGTACGATGAGAAGATGCTGTTTAGATTACCACAGCTGAAGCGTAAAAAAAGATGGATGATTAGTATTGAGAATCCTTTAAGTTTCAACGCAAAAAATGTAAGGCACTACCACACTTCCCAAACCTTAATGATATTTGCCAAATATCTCACACTAAACGCCCTCTTAGACCTACTTCTCACAAGGTAGACGCAAAATATGGGACCTCTCGACCAACTACAAAGAATATAAGGAAAGATTCGACTGGAGGTATACTGGGAAAGTGCGATGTACTTACGTAACTAACCTATTATTAGCAAGACAATTGGAATCATAAGTAGTAGCTGAATGCCTAAACTAAAGAAGGCGTTATAAGATGCATCTAAAGCGATAATATTCATCAACTTTACACATGATTAGCTTATAAAACGTTTTGTATTACAGACAGTTGGGACGGATTACGTTTCGGACAGAATTTATTGTCCATAGTTAGGACGGACCTATACAGGTCTACGGAAGTTAAATGTCTGCTTATGTATCTTTCATCATTCTCAATGCGTATACTTCCCCAGATAATCACCGTCATTAACTCCTGGGAAATGCGCTTAAGTGCTAATACACGGACATTGAGTAATAGAGCAGTGAGAAATCTTAATCCAAAGTGACTCGCTCTACAGTTTAGCGTCACTCGTGAGTAGAGATCGGTTCAAAACTTACCAGTTTCTATAAAACGCAAGAGGAAAGATTTTCAGTTCACGAGGATGACTTGGCGTTCTTTTAGCTGTGATATTTTGTCGTGAACGTTTCAAGAGGAAATACAGTGACTTTTCGCTTACTTACTAGGATTCTGGACCTCACTACGAATTAGTGAGCTTTTACACTGAATATCAGCTATCAATCAGTCTATACAAGCTGTTTTAAACTGTGTTGGACCAGTCTAACCGCTCAAACAACCATAAAGCCTTGCGGCTATCAGCTGTGTTGATACATACCAAAATTACGAATTTTATGCCAACACCCGACAGCGTAACATGTAGAACAAATTAAGTACTTGAAGATCGAAAAGTCTATTGAAGAAAAAAATGTGCGCAACACCAATGAATTTCATCATCAGCATTTCACGAAATGTGCGGTTGACGACGACAGAAAACTGAACCATCTTCCCACAACTAAAAGATGTCGGTGAACCAAGTTCGGAAGGTTTTTTGTAGGCGCTTACTAAATATTACAACATTAGTCACTGCAGTCGTCTACTACAACCTCAACTAAAATGAGTTCTGTGGACCTAGATGTTGCTAAAAATAATGAAAATGAGCATCTATAAGTTGCAATTACGTGGACTTACTCAGATAACCTTTCATACGTATTGAGAGTGCTGGAAAGAAAGGAATAGATTGGGATGTGTGGCTTAATCTTCCTCTTCCGTAGATCATATTTCGGTTCACATGGCTTAGTACTTTGTACACCGATAACTGTTAGTGGTGAAGCATCTAGGTGTTCAACTACATCTTCAGAACACTGGATATCTAACATAGCCGGGTCTCTACTACGCTGTGACTGATTGCCATCAGCCTCTTCAAACATTTTCTGAACACCTTGCGAATCCAGAGGCTGGGAAGATATCTTGTTGATGGAGCTAGTTTCACTTGAAGCACGAGAAAGTGGGTCGCGAACCGAGGCGATGCACTCAAGGACATGATTGGCAGTGACGATTAACTCACCCCCAGGACACTTCCGATTTTGATCGGCTTCAGCACTATCTAGATAGCTCGTGTCCAAATCCCCATTCGACTCCAGCTCCATATAGTCGCTATCCATCGGTTGAACTTCCGCATGATTGGATGCGTTGTTAGGTGAGGATGGTAATGGTATTTCATCTGCAAAACAAAAGGTAATTTCCAGACATACGAATATAATCTGTAATGAAAACCCTGTGAAATTATCTTATGGAGGGACCTATGATCAGTAATATTCATCTCAACATAAAGTGCTCGAGCGTACTAAACCTCGCAGTGATAGCTGTATGGACACCAATCACTATCTTACCTCGCTTAAAAGATGACATGATCTACCGGTGCTTAGAAATGACGGATCATTTACACCAGCCATGTCAAAGGATTGACCACTCAACAAATCTAATTACAAACCACCCAGGAAAATGTTGCTCAATAATAACAACCTCACTGACATTACTTAGAAAACCATAGCTGAGAAACAAATTTTATTGCCAAAATGTACAAGGTTTAAAAATACAGCTGAAAAGTACACTCAGCGCTTTGCAGACTGATGTTACTGAACCTAAACGGAAAGTGTACACGTAGGATCGGATGCAATTAAATCAACACTCAAGAAGATAAGAAGTTGATCTGTCATGAAACCTCAAGGGCGCAGATACAAAGTACTGAATGAATTGTATGGATAACAGTTTACTTAGTAAAGGATTGTTAGGGAAAAACGCGACAATCTCATGAGAAGAAAGTTCCAAAACTGTCAACGAAGCGACTATGCCTTACCTATATTCACACTTTTGGAAGGATGAAGAGATTGCGACGGTTGCTTCTGAGGTTTGATATTACTTTCACGAAGTTCTTGTTTAAAAGCTTCCCTGCTATGGCGTTTAGATTCTCTGGTAGGATGTCTGCTTAGTTCTAGACTAGAGTCTGAATCAGCCGAGCTACTGTTACTGGTTCGTTCGTGTTTGAGGGGGGTAACTTTTCCAGATGCAGGAGACAGGTTTTCACTGTTTGATGATGAACTAGAACTGATGTCAGAATTAGCATCACTATCAGTTTGTTCTGACGGCCGTCTGTAACCCAACTTGGGTTGTGTTTTACGGTACACATCCGCTAGAGTGCCACTAATCCTTGAAGTCAGCTTTTGCATCTGAACATATTGCACGCCATCAACTTCCTCCCGTTTAATGTCAGAGTTTGGTTTTTGCGTTACTTTTTTTCTAATGACGCGATCTTTCGGGACGCTTTTAACTTTTTTGACACCTGACACACGTCCCTCTTTTTCATCTCGCTTCCGCTTTTCAGGAGTACCTGAGCGATGATGAGACCGTTTTGTTTCATCTGTAGAGTGTGATTCTTTGTCTACTTTTTCCCGGGACTTAATAGCTTTTCTGTTTGGTTCTTCACGTTTAGCTGCATTCTCGGGAGCCTTCGACCATTTCTTTCGATCGCTGAAGTGCTTTCCCGTAGCTTTAGTGTGACTATGTTCAGCAGATGAACGGTGACGCTCTTTGGAGTTCTGACGAGAACGTGATCTATGTCGAGTACGACTAGAGCGGTGTGGTGAATTTGATGAGCTAGAGGAGTGCCGACGCCGTGATCGCCGATGCCCACTCGACCTTCTAGAGCGTGAACGTCTGTGAGACTTAGAATGCTTATGAGAATGTGATCTTGACCTCCGGCGTCCGTTTTTCCCCTTCGGTGTCTCCTCATTTTGTTGAGACTGATTAGCTACAGCTGGATTAGCTATGAGTGGAGTAGCGATCATTTGTGCAGAACGAAACTTCTGAGGATTAACAAACTGCATTCCTGCAGTTGGGGGTATCGACGCCTGAACGAGAGTGGGATCGGTTGCATGCGCATGAATCAAGTTCCGAGTAGCAACAATAGGTACGGGATGATGGATTGGTTGGATATTAAGACTCATCAAGTTTGGAATTGGAGGTGTCTTTGAAAGCGTACTCGTTCCGGAAACTTGAGCCTTATTTCCAACGTTATTAGTTGGTGTTAACGACTTATCAACTATTCCTGACGCATTCAACTGTCCAACACCACTCACTGAAACCATACTTTGAAGATCGGTAGATTCAGATGCTGGATAAGTAAGTTGCTGGACGCTTTTTAAGTGATCTGAAGTAGAACTTATGGTCTCGGTCTCCTTAGATGGTAGAAACAAGTCTGTTTTTACCTCAGTAGCAGGTAGTTTATTTTTAGGAGGTAAAACACCAACAGGCAGTTGAAAAGGCTTTGACCGCTTCATCATTGCTTGGAGTTTAGGCATGGTTTTGGGCTCCTCAACCTTTACATCTTTAGATGATTCGAAAACACCAGGAGATTCGACAGGTACTTCTGATCCTGATAGAGATTTAGCAGACATCCTTATGCTGAACTTTAGAGGTCCCGTTAAAGATTCTGAAGCATCAGTTTTTGGAGAATTAAAATATAAATTAGGATAAAATGGTGGTCCCTTTTCTTCTACATTCTCGATATTCTGGTTGAAGTGAGGTAGGGGAATGTCAGAAGCTTCCACCTTGGTAGCAGGTGGTAGTGGGATATTACAGACATCGCTTTCATCTTTTGGAACATCTTCATGAACGGGCCCTTTAAAAACAGCAAATTATTTATGAATTGAGTACATACCTGGCAATGGGATAGCTGACAAATCTAGTGATGGTGAACAATCCTCTATTTCACTACGTGAGAATATTATAATCCAAGTATACTGACTTACTCTGTTGGCGAAGCAGGGTCATACTCCATCAAGACTAGGCACGTTTCGAGAACTAAAGTGGAAATATCCCCACCAGCATATAAAACCAAGGACGTTCAACCCTATAATTAAGCGCCCTAGAACACCTGTCAAGGTTAAAACAAATACATGTTTCAGTAGTTAGGATATTTGTTCGCTGTGCCTTGATTTACCCTTGAGGTGATTATGATGAGGAGTTTTTAGTCACGCTTCTAATATCTTCTCTTATATATTCCATAGTGTCTGTAATTATATGTTAAAAAGTCATGTTAAGTTTCCGGCTTAGTTCATCTAGTTCAACTGGTTACGCGTGGAAGCTTTTGTTAGGCCGACTTCCAAGTTCAGAATGAGTGAATAACTAATTTTTGTGGCTGTTAGCATGCATACGAACAGAGCAAAAATTGACCGTTAAAATGTGAAATTTCGGCTAGTTCTGAGAAAGCTTCCCACCCACATCTTAAGCGTATATGAAGTCAGTGTTTGAAGAATTCAGACTAATTAGCGTGGATCATGTCTTCAGGAAGGGCATGAAGTGCTCAACAACTCTTAGGGAGTAGAAAGTCTCTCATCTATAACCGGCTTTGTTCTAGGTCAAGCTTTTGCCTGCGCCATCTAAGATTAATGCTACAACTAAATTTCAACAGGTGAGGGAGCGGGTATTTAAGGGTGCTCATAACGTTGTTGGCTTTCTTCAAGCCCCCACCCTGGTCTTCTATATTCTAAGGAACACAAGATGCAACCAGCTATTCTTCAAATTTCAGACCTATGTTCCCGAACAGATTTGGTAGAGTGACTCTGGACGCCTTCCAATGTTGTTTTTCTACGAAAAAGGAAAACGATGGTACCAAACTTTAGGTGGGGCCATATGAAGCCGCTGAGAACACCTACGGTCCGAAAATTCGTTGCTAACGCCAAGTTTACACGAAATTCATTTTTGTTGCGGTCGGCGTAGGATTTTATTTCTTGAAGAACTAAAACGCTCAAATCCTACTCCGTCAGCAACGCTTCAACTTCCATTCCGTAGACGCTATAAACGTGGAACGCACCATGTTTTACATGTAACACCTTACATTTCTAAGAACCGAATGCCAGCGCATTATTGGCTGAACGGTTTAAGTCTTCCTGCAGAGAAATACCCTTTTCTTCACTTCTGATCTCCCCCCCCCCATAGTATCATATCTTCAGCAAAAAGAGGGATTTTGGAAGAGGCCTATTGAGGCAAACTCATTTATGTACTAGGGAAAGGAGAGGACATCGTCCTGAACCCCGGGTAAACCACCAAGACATTACGTTTCTCGAGACATGATGAAGGTCACTCAAACTATCAACAAACGACCTCGTTTATATGAGCACAATCAATCGATCAACCAGTCAATTACCTTTTATTTACCAATTGGGTAGTTATCCCTAACACGACCAAACGGCCTAAAAGAGTCTAGATAACTAACATCGGCTTGACTTCCACGGTCGACAATACTAATCCATCTATCCAGTGCAGCAGGTTGGTAATGCAAAAGCACCACTTTCTCATTGTTGGGAGGTAAATAAATTAATTATCACTAGGTGATTTCTCAGTCTATCATAAATTGAAGATTCTGTTACTATCCGAAGTGTGGATAAGAGAGTCACCGGTTTGTATTACTTCAGCCTGCCTTGCTGACCTCCTTTGAAGATTGGAGTTATGTAGTTCAAATTATGAGGATTGCGTACTCCCCTATGAATCAGAGAGCCCTTAGATAGCTTACCAAAAGCAACAGCCAAGATCGGTGCTGCTTTCCGCGGTATTCCTACATTGATTTTATCTGGTCATGGAGATGTGTCTTTTGCGAGCAGTGTGTGCTGTCCCAGCTCAACGTCTAGAACGCGGACCGAGAATCCCGCATCGTTAGCGGGATATTCGTAAACCAGTAGGTTTGGAAGCAGTGATCAGTTAGGAGCTCAGCTGCTTCCCACTAGTTAGTTCGCTGAGGCCTTGTCGTTGTCTGACCTCCGCTTAAGCCTTCTAGAATGAACTTCTCGGGCTAGAAGCAAACTTAACTTAATGCCATTATGTGTCATCTCTTAGGGCTTCCCTGCATGTGCTTGTTGTCTGTTTGACTAGTCTCAGTGTGACTTTGATAGCATCCCTCTTATATTCAGCCCAGCGGCGTCTTTTTTATCAATGTGGTTTGCGAGTTCAGTTCGCTCTTTATTTTAGGAGACTGGGAGCACTTTAGCTTTGAAAGTCGAACAGGGTGGCTGATAGCATGCATGACTTTGTCGGGTATGAATCCACAATGGGTGTAAATATTTTGCAATACATGGTCAACTTCCCCGCCCATCTGTTCCAGTACCATCCAAAGGGCCGGAGTGTTCAGCCCTTTGAAGTTCCGATGGCGCTCATCAGGAAACCCGGTTACATTGGTCTCGCAGACATAACGGAAGCCGATAACGACTTGGTCAGTCCTTCCAAAAGGAGAAATGATCGCTGGGTTATCAACCAGGAATTCTTCACTCATGGAGATGCAGTCTAAAGGAAACACGGTTTGGTTTGGCATCCATCGCTCCGCTGTTCTAACATTTTCCGCGAGGCCAAGGTGCTCGGTCAGATTGGGGAATCTGGCTTCGAAGGAATCATCACTCCTGCTGAACGTATGATCTACGAAGTTAACCTTCGATGGGTTAATGTCTTGTAGAACCACCATGTGGGTGGCCCAGTTTAAGACAGCGATTGATAGCCCCTGGCATTTTCGCATCATGCTGTACGTCAGCCAACGACCTTCCACAAACGACTCCCACCAAGCACTTTGTAGCCTTGAGTAGCTTTATGGGCATCACATGGACTCCTCGAGACATTTCAAATCTTGAATGTGAATTTGGTGAACTGCGAAGGAAGAGTTGATGCAAACTGCGACCCTGCCCACCCTACTAGCTTTCCTGTCCCCACGAAAAGATATGGTGTTGGCAGCTGCCAGCTCCTGATTTGGCACGTCAGGAAAAACCTATGCCTTAGTTGCGACTATCAGATGTAGATAAGTGTCCTTATTAAGTTCCTGCAGCTCATCCAGTTTGCTCAGTAAATTTTGTGTACTCTTATAGATACAGTTTGTGCTATCTATTTGGGACGCGCTTCCTGGACTCTGTGTCTTCCCGTTGGCTGAATAAATCCACATGTATGGGGACTGGCAACAAACCCGAGCATGGCCTACCGGTATGGCTTCCTTCGCCCCTCCTCCGGCTTTTGTATCCAGTGTCTACCAGAGGTACAACCAGCCTTAACTTTTTCCTGTTTTCGTTACAGTCTTTTGTCCTACGACCTACCAGGTTGGATGCGGTTTCCAGGTGGCAGACGATTTCCTTTCACTTAGAATGCCTTCTGTGTGGATGGCGCCATCTGAGAGGCCAGAAAGACCACTTTGATCACCCTTGGCCTTGAGTCATCACCCGTTTTTGGCGTCCATGAAACGCTCTGTGTTATTATTCCCTTGAGGTTCTCAGTATTCTCCAGGAAATGTCACTCGCGGTAATCGTAGTGAACGTCCTCAGTGACTGGGTTTTCGGGCACGTATTACGTTGTCTGTTTCCTTTCCCCCAAGGTATGCATTTTGCGCTGTCCTACCGTTTCATTCTATGGCTCATCTTCCGGCAGTGATATCCTACTGAAGGACTGTAAGTCAGTCGATGTTACTGTACTAATGAGGTGTATCATGTCTCTCACAAGATTGGTTCCTTGCTCCAATCTGACCACCTATGTTGGTTTACATCACAGCTCTTCAGTTTTTTATGTCCATACTAATCCCGGTAATTGCTCCGCATCCAGCCTCACAGCCACTGAACGCCCCTCACAAATGACAAACTAGCGGTGCTTTCTGAAATCTATGATGGATGAGGGCTAGCGGTGGAATCCAGGACGCAACAAGGTATGGGTGACAACTTTGTTGGGGTAAATGCAGCACCCTCAAGGGTCCTCGCTTGGCCATAGGGCTCATGTCAAACATTTTGTGTCTTCCTCAGAAAAATTCTTATCAAGAGGCCGTTCTGCTTAACTTCATAGGAGATCAAGTCACTATACCACCTGATCACTTCTTTTCGTACTGAAGTCATCACCACGTGACTGCTCGGGACAAAATCCGGCACTCCTGGGAGAAACCCAATTGATGACAATAAGCAGAATCTATGAATACTGCCGAAAGTATTACAGAGTCTATCAAAAGCCTGAGACTATCGACAGGTATGGGGACAGATGGCCTAAACTCAACAGTCATCAGAAATAGTGGTAACAACATGCCGCTGTTCAGCGAAAAGTGAAGACAGTCCCACCCAGTGGAAAACTAGCGTCATGGTTCCTCACTACAAGTCCGGTAACGAAACGAAAGCCAGTAACGACAGGTCTATCAACATAACGCCAGTCGTCTCCCGAATTATGGAAAAGGCTATTAAGAGCAGCATCTCTGACTACCTGCCTAGAGAAAATCCAATTACAGTTTCAGCACGGCTTCACTAAAAACAGGTCTTGTGTTGCCTGCCATTTCGATTTCTTCGACCTTGTCACTAGTGGCCGCGAGGCACGTAAAATTATCATTGTTCTGTACTTCGGGAGATCTAGGGCATTCGACAAGGCACCACATGGGGTACTTTTTGACAACCTATAGTCGTTTGGCATCCATCTATCATTACTCCGTTGGATAAGTTCATCCCTTAATGATCGTAGTTAAATAGTCAAAGCAAAGTCTATGCAGTCTGGACCTAGGCTCATAACTGGTGGAGTAATACATGGTAGTGTCCTCGGGCCTTTGTTATCCACAACTTATATTATTACTGTGTGCAAGTGTTTCACTACAGGGGAAACATTCCTATTAGCTGATGATCTTGGGGCTGTATACTCATGCCACACTCACGAACTAAGAAACACTCCATTTACGGCTCAACAAGAATTAGGTGAACTTGTCATACGGTGCAACGAGTCTCATCTCACGTTCAACACTGATAAATGTGGTTGGCTTAGAATAGAGAGCGATAGCTCAGAAGTGTC